AAGAGACGAAACATTAAAATTAATAATAAAAAGATGTCAATTATGTGTGTTTGATTGATTAGATTATTTGATTAGACCATTAGAAAATAACAAAAGCAAAGAGAAATAAATCAAAAAGCATTGCTTGCAAAAAGGGAAACCCATCGTGAGGAAGAAACCGATTAACTACAAACATCGTCCTTCATTAAAACCTTCTCTTTCCCTTAGTTTTCCCTTGTACACTTCGGTCTGTTGACCATGTAACGTTATGCGTCTCGTCTCAATTCCTTCTCATATTGCGCCGCTCTTCCATTTCTTTTATCTCCCTTTCCTTTTCTATTTCTCCAAAGAAACAAGAAAGAGACACAGTCGCAACCGCAATTTCACGAGACATCGCGAACACGCAGTGGAAACAGGCATAAACTCGGGCGTAAACAACGATGTGCACGTAAAAGTGCATAAACCGTGCCGTAATTTATTATTATACAAATGTTCTATATAAGTGAACAAAAAAAGATATCTATTAACTACATTTCATAATATATGTTCTGTTCGAGGTTCTATTTTTTTGTTTTAAGTAATACAAGAAATAATTTAGACAAGTATTAATTATTAAATTCAACTAACTAAAAGAAAAGGAAAATAAAGTAATAATAGAAAATGTGTCAAATAATTTATTTAAAATCGACAGAATTTAATAACACAATTTCGAAGTAAAAAAGAATAAAGAGAGAATAGGATACTTATTGGTATATTATTGCATTGGTATTTATATTTTTTAATTTGTCATTGTGAGTCACATTGCGACAAAAAATCTGCCGTCATTCTCTTTGCGGGAGGCACCAAAAATGGATGGATCGTGCGGTATAGACGCATGTGACCGCACGAGAAGATTTAGAAAACCAACGTGGCAATCATGCGGCACGATACACATCCAAATTTAGGATCCTGACTTTCTCGACCTCTTCTCGAACGTCTGAAGCTCGTTTTCCGGCGGGGAATGCCGCCCACGCGATTAAAAAAATGCTTAACTCGCCCAACGAGTTTTATTTACCTTCTAGTATCAAGTTATATAAATAAGATATTTTTTAAGCACACCGTATGTACGTATCAATATATTTATACCTTTACATAATACGTAATTTTATTAAGTCAAAAGAGACATGGAATAAAATAATACAAAATTATAATATAATTGCTCGTTATAAAACTGAGCTCCTTTTATTGTACGAAGGAAAACTGAAATTTTAGTAGAAGCTTGTGAATCTCCATCAGAGGGATTGAATAAATAGAAAATAACGTATTCATATATTATTTATATGAGCATCCGGACGAGATACGTAGAAATAGATAAGAAACAGCTTAACGAAGTTCATTAATCAAATTCCTTCTCGAAATAAGATGTAATGTACATTTATGACAAAACATTTAATTTTATGAGAAATTCGCAGGAAGTACTGACGTAAGATTCCGAAATTCGTGCACTTGGCTTTAAAGTTTATTTCTAATGCAGTACGATAAACAAATCTTTGGTGCAAAATTATCGTCTACATTTATGGAAGAAAGATTCGGCGCGAAACTGACTGAAAAAAAAACAGTCTCTCCATCTCCTTCTCTCTCTTCTCTTTTCTTTTCGTCTCTCTTCCTGTATGCAGAGAGACCACGCTCTCAGTATCGGTCATTCAACGTAAGAATAAACGAGACGAGAAATATCACAACGAATGGAACTGAGAACAGCTCAGCCAGCGGAACTAAACGAGAACGGTACATCCTGTAATCTGTCTCAGAAAAAGTTTCGGTGTGTTATAATGTGCCAATCTTCTTGACATCCTGACAACGCGAGAAAAGAAATCAAACGCTAAAGTCACTTTAATTGCAAGTAAAATGATAATTCTTTACCGTTGTAAAAATAATTCTGTCTTCAGAAATGATGTTTCGTTGCATTTATAATAAAAATACGTTCTATGTACGTAATTATGTAATAGACTTATATTTGTATAATAAATATAATTAATTAATTCATAATTCTACAGTTAAATTATTAATTATGTAATTTCTTTCATTTAAATCCTTTTAATAGTACATAATTGAAAACAAAAAATAAAAGAAACTATTATAAAATTGTAGTTAAAATACTAAATTTTATTTCTTATCCTATTAATATATAAATTTACATGAAAAGGATTTTATTGAATATAGAAAATATTTTCAGCTACATAGATCTGAAAATTGTAAGATGCTCGAACTGATTGTTAGACATTAAAACTTTTCGCACCATTTTCTTTATCATGCCTAAGATTTCGACATAGTTATTTGATAGTATAACAAAATTATTTTCAGATTTGTATCTAACTAAATTTTTGGTACTTCAACAAAACCTTTTCTGTGTATATTTACGACACATATTACACTGTATTTAAAAATAGTATCAAAATAGCATAAGATTGAAATAAAATTTTTATAATTGGCGGCTGATTCTAGACTCTAGTCTTTTGCGCGAATAAAGTCAGATAAATTAGCACGGCGCGCGAATAGAAGTAAATGGAAATTGCACGCCACGGTCTTTCATAAAAACACTCGCAAGAATCCGCGCAGAACTCGCTTCGTTCACAGTTTTGAACAAAACGTGAGTTATAAATCCGACATTTCAAGGCTTATCCTGAACAAATGCGGAAGTTGGTATACATACGCTATAAACAGTAAATAAAGTAACAGAGTATTTGCTGCATTCTGCTTGAATAGCGGCTAAAACGAAATAAATATTTCAACAAAATTTATTTAAAATAAAGCTAAAGGAATTCGTAGAAACGAGCGAAGCTAAACGAGAACGAATATATCTTGTTGCCTAAGAATGGCTCAAAGAATAGTCAACGTACTTTGTGCAGTGTATACGTATATATATATATATAAAGCTTTAAGTAGATACATAATCGAATACCGTTATACATAATTGTACGTAGTTATGCGTAGATAATAGGTGAGTCTTTCAACCGATAGTCTCACAAATATCATGTTTTACATGTTGAAACTGCTTTTAAACGTTCTAAAAATGTTTAATCGATAACGCAAAAAATAAATAAAATTAAAAAAAATTAAAATAAACTCATAAAATGCGCCTTTTAATTTTCTACTCTTTCATATGTCCCTTTTGCGTCATTATTTCCTCTAAAATCGTTGTATTTGTAATTTACTTTTTCATGCGTGCAGCACACTAAAGAGCAACCATGTTATAGGCCTTCCGCAATCTACATTTATAGATACCAGTTATAACGTTCAGTTGAATTGCAATCGGTTCGCGAACGGTACATCCTGCCATGTACTCCCACTCCGTTTCTGCGTATCTCGAAAAACGCTGCATACCCGTTCTATGCCATGCGAGACTACGAGTCCTATAACGATCGGAACAGAAAATCCTCGCAACCAATAACGTTGCCACGGTAAAAGACGTTTAACGAGGTTGTAACTCTGAGATTTACTTGTCCAAAATTCACTTATCCAGGCAACCGAAGACTCATTCTTAAATGGAGGCTATTAAATGTTGGCTGAAAGTTTTCAGAAATTTAACGAATACCAATCTTTTATTATTGTATTTATTTGGAACGTTCTAAAATAGTTCGTTAAAACGTAAGCTAAATCAACATTACAAATACAGACACTCGTCAAGAATCTAAGAATTCTTTAAGACAATTGTGTGAATATGACAAAATCGAACGGAACGTTTTGCTTATCTCTTCTTATCTTTATTTATATATGTATATATGTATCTTTTTATACTTAGAAATCGCTCGAAATAACTACGTCATATCTGTGTTTGATATAAAATTTGACATTATTATCATTGCAATGTTCTCATTGTTTTTTTTTATCGTGTATTTAGATATTATTTATTTTAACTTAAATTAAAAAACAAACATCTTATTTTATTTATATCTTTGTAACGGTCTAACAGCTTTTAGAGCGTTACAAAGTACATCTAAGGTCCGGTTTGCTGGGTAACTTGTGGTTAGGCTTCACTTGATGATCAATGTAAAAAATGTATTTTTCTAGTTGGTTGCGATTAAACCAATGGCTTCGTAGGATTTCAAAGATACCACTACAACGCCATTAGTGATTAATAGCTGGAAAAATAATTTTTATCATCAACTTAAGTGAGGTTAAATCGAAACCACGAGTTAACCAGATAATGAAAAACCTTTACTTTATCTTCTTATTTTTATTCTTTTATTTATCACGCATAAAAGCGCTGCTGAAAATATACGGCTAACTACATATCCATGTTTGACATATTTGACATTATTATTACCATTTAACGTATATCGTGCTTAGATATTATTCGATTTGAAATAAAAACAAACACGAAACTTGTGTCTTTGTAACGGTCGCTAACAGCTCTTAAAGCGTACTAAGTGTATCTAACAGAATTCACTACATTCACTACAATGTTCAGAATATTCTTCGCATCCTTGCGACATGGTGGGGAACTACCTCGCAGCCTTTTATGCATCGAGCGTACCTCGTCCGTCGCGAGAACGGTGCGGCGCGCAACAAGTGGATTTCTCGAATTCTTTCGAATTTTATCGAATTTTCCTTGAAACTACTACATATACGTATGAATTTATTTATTCGAGTTTGAATGAAAACCGCATCAGACTGTGAGCGAAACTTTTCAGCCGGCGTCGTACCAATCGAGGCGCAACAAACAGACAACTCCCTTTGGCGTGTACAGAGTAACGTTCCACGACGTTAAACACGCGTGCATCACGCACGCACGCACGCACGCAGGAAGGCCGTCGATTGGCAACGGCGCGAAGGCCGCCACTGGGCCGAGCCCTACTCAATGGGGCCGAACGAGAACGGTACATCTCTCCCGCTCTCTCCCCGGAGAGCGCGGTGGCACTCCTTTTGGAGCTGAGAACTCCAGAAGAGAGAGAGAGAGAGAGAATTCCACGATTCCTCTAGGATGCGAACGAGAAGAACTCGCGGATTGGAATAGATGACCGGACGACGACTCTTTACGATACCTTGTCGAGGCACTTGAGCTCCTCGATCGGGTAGACCGTTTTCTCGCAGCGGGCGCACGTCTTGCTCATCTTTATCTCCTCTCTACCTTCTCGGCTACGGGTCCTCTGCCGCCGCTGTCCTCTCTTCTCTCTCCTCCGCGTTCACCGTCACTCACGCGCACCCAGGCTACTGCACGCGGTCTCGCCGATATTACGTTTCACGAGACACCGGATTACGGGCACCGCACGCACGCACGACACACGACGCACGCACGCACGCACGCTTGTATTGTACGCACACACTCTATACTCGACTCTACTCCGGAGACGACGGATCTCGGTACTGCACGTGCGTGACGTGTATACACCCTAGCGACACATCCGACCGACCGTCGCCGTTGCTGCGCGACTTTTGCCTCGGACAGCCTGCTGGCGCCAGTTCGCTCGCGAAAATCCGGCGGGAAAAAAAACCGCAGCCACCCCGATGACTCCGATCGTTACGTCTTTTCCCGTGACTGGCGAGTGGCCGACCTGGCGACTCGACGGCGTTGGACTCTCGTTCGCGTCCCGTTCTGCGTCCCCCGCCTCGCTCCCTCCCTCTCTCACTCTTTCTTTCTTTTTTTTCTCTCTCTCTCTCTCTCTATCCTCTCCCGACTCTCTCGTGCGAGACTCACGGAAACGGCAACAACGGGTAAATCCACGAACTCGCGGCAGTCGCACCGAACCGCACTGCCCTCTCGTCCTCGTCTAATCACAAAAAAAGAACCCGTGAAATAACACCGACGGTAGGACGAACACTACTGCGTTAGTCAACGTGACGACTCGCCGCACACGGCGAACGCGTGCGTCACGTGGTACAGTTCTGTCACGTGCGATTGGCGAATCGCGAGCGCGACTCAGGACCGACTATATAAATAGGTGCTTCCCATTTCGTGACACAAAGTGTCGTTCTACCTTTATTACTTATTGAATGCAAAATAAGATGAAATGATGCTTGCATTAACTTATGTCATTAAATGAAAAGCATCCAATGGTGCCTTCCACTTCGGGGCATTTAATTTTAATCTTAGTTTATGCATTCTTTATGTTTTTCTCTAGTCCTAAAATTAAAAAAAGATGAAGAGTAAGTTGGAACAAGCAAGGTAAAATTAATCTATAATAGTGACGGGTTTTAGTGACACAAGTCGATACAATAAACATCGTTCTATCTTTCTTGATAGTCAGAGAATAACAAAAATGGAACTTGTGTTGACTTGTGTTATTATAAATGGAAAGCTTATAATTTAGCAGATTAAGAAAATTTTGAAATTGTTGAATTTCCTTCTATTTTTGTATATAATAGCGATTCCATTCAAAGCACAGAGAGAAACAAAAATTATGTCAATTTTGGTGATATTTACACCGTAAATGTAATCTTAAAGAGCATCAAAGCGATTAAGAAATTTTCGAAAGTATATACATTTCTTTCTCCATTTCTGGCATGCATGAATAAAATAAAACATTTATTTATACACTTATTGAAAAAGTTAACGTTTCAGAAATATAGTTACTGATAATATTAAATATGTTAAAGTAATAATTAATATGTGTGTTAATTATATTATTATATTCGATAATAAATCTAATTTTTACCTTATTTAAAAAAACTAATACTATTAACTTTAGAAACGTTTTACTGTGTAAAAAAATAAATTGTAATAAATGTAATAAAGTAGATTCGAGTACTACGCTAGTCAACGTTAGCGACATTAAATATCTTTATTTTATGAATTTGTTTAATTTTGTTATTCTCATTAATGGGTGCAGTGTGACGAAATTGTATATATGATACAATTGTTTAATAAATAAAGTAAAAAATTAATTGTATAATAAATAATGTTATCATCGCTATTCATGACGTTAAACTGCAGCGTAATGAACAGTTAAATCCACGAAAACGTTGATAATATAGCGTTCTAACATATCATCGGTTTAACTATACCTATAAACTAATAACAATAATAAAAGTACACAGAAATAATATATTAAAAAAATGTAATTATTCGGGGATTTCTTTCTATTTATTTCTCAAGAAAATAGTTTCAAAATATGTTTTAAATACAATAAATTTTAATAGTTCGAATTTATAACTTTCGCATTTAGTTAACTGTCGGTAAGTACATTCTAATTATCAGTGAATTTTACCTTATCATTTTATAAATCTATTTATGTGTACTAATAATCACGGAGGTTCATGTGATTAACTTCAATTTGATTTATTCTTGGCTTTTCAAAATTATTTTTATTTTAATTTTTACACAGATTGTTATTTTAATTTCTAAATGCATTTTATTAAAGTTCATACAAAAAGTCAATTAATATAGCATACAAAAAGTATTTATTATTTTTCTAAGAAATATAAATAAAAAAACCTTTAAATTTCTACCATGTATTATTAGACATGCGCAATATTATCTTTTTAAAATATAATTTAAAATATTTTGTTTCTATAAGTTCTGAGGTTCTGACATTTAAAAATTACATAAAAACATGTATGTATGTGTATGTATATCTGTGACATGTATGTATATGTTATGTATACAAATATAGAGTATATACTTACAGAGTGCATTAGATCAATTACAATTATAGGTTTTAAGGTGATGCTGTACCCGCCTATGTTATCGATAAAACGTCAAAAACGCTTGTTTTATCGATAATACAGGCTGGTCCAGCATCACCTTAAGCCTATAAGCGGCTATTGTCTGTTTTTGCAGTGTAGATTAATTTTAATCATAGTTTAATTCACTTTCTATCTTTTTCTAGTTCTGGAATAGAAGATAATAAGAATTAGAAAAAAATGAAGAATGAGTTGAACTAAGATTAAAATGAATAATTGGTAAACATTGATAAAAACGGGCAAGTATCAGTTCGAGTTAATCCTGCAGAACAGACATTACTTAGCCATTGTCTATCAACTAGTGCCCTCTACAGGTTATAGAACGCAGACAAATAATGTAATATGTTTATTATCGCATGATATGGAAGTATAGTGGATAAAAAATAAAAAATTTTTGTAAATAATACCAAATATAAAAATCATTTACTTAATTCGATACAATAAAAAACATTTAATAAAGTTTAGTATAAATTTTCAAGTCTTTTCAATTATTACCTTTTCAATTTTTACCTTTAAGAAATTGATAGATTACGCTGAAATCCTTATTTGAGAATCCTTGATTGATGACTGCTGTATAAATCTGATGCGCCAGGGAACCGAGAGGAATCAGAGCTTGTGTTCTGGAAGCGGCGGATTGTACCAATCCCAGATCTTTGGCCATTAACGTTGTACCGAAACCGCCCTATATATGTACACTTGTTATTTGCTTCGTAAACTGTGTGTGGTACTTATAGCTATTTGTTATATTTAAGACCATCTTAAATATGTACAATCTTAAGATATCATAAATCAATCATACAGCCACACACATACTCGTATTTGCGTCATAAAGTATTAAGACGCATGATTTTGTAATAAGAACAGTATATATATGGTTGATATTAATATTTATAATCTATTCTTTATTTCAAGGCTTATTATATAAGATGTTCTAAAGAAGTTTGTAAAATGTTAATATGGTTATCTGATTAGTTCATGGCACCTAAGACACGTGCTTAAAACAATCTTATTTAAATATGGTACAATCCGGACTGTATAAAAATCTAAAAAATTCTTACTTATTTGTGGAAACTTTATAAGTTTCTATAATTATAAAAGTTTAATTATATTTTAATTATTTTTCAAATTTAAATTGTCTATCAAAATTTATGAAAAATCGACTGAGCCTTTAAAATTTAACATTGCTGATGAAAAATTAAATATAAAAACCGATTATGAATACCGATTACAATCATGTATTCCCATTAGTATAATATACAAATCAAATTAATTATGGATGATAATAAATTTGAAAAAATGCGATAAGACGATTACATCTTTTTCGACAATTCTTGATTGTAATTGACTAATTTTTACGTCATTAATAAAATTTCATCTTATGGTTACGAGAAGTGTATATGGAAAAGTCCAATAACAATTTATATATTATAGAAAATTCAAAATATATACAGTCTTTAAATAAATTATATAAACTATCAGCTTTATATTCGAAAATTTTACGATGTTGATTCATTTTCCCTAATTATTTTATTTCGTCCGGTTCTTGAATTCCGCTTCAGCAAATCCGCAATATAAGAAAATCGGATTACACAAAAGCATTTCGCACTGAATTACCTCATAATTCTTCGAACTGGGAACATTAGGTAGAATTCCTGGAACTGGATTATAAAGATCGGAAGACCAGCATCTGCCCGTGCTAGAGTTTACAACGTTCGCCAATATCTTTGCGTCTAAACCTAGCCTAAAATAAATCGCATATATTAAACTACTGACGCGTAAAAAGCAGTAAATATGTGCACGTGATACTATTCAGATCTCACTTCTGCCCAAGGTTGAACGCCTCAGCGGTACCGATCATACTAATAGCTAATAACATGTTGTTACATAGCTTAGCCGCCTGTCCCATGCCTACGTCACCGCAATGTACTATTCTAGATCCCAAAGCTCCAAGAATGGGTTTCGCATCATTAAAATCCATTTTCGTACCACCTACCATGAATGTCAGAGTGCCATCCTTGGCTGCATTTACGCCTATTGACATAATTCAATATTATTTCTTACTTTATAGCATAATTTTTATGCCTACATTTAGGATCTACTGTTATTCTAAATTTATTATTATTTTCTATTTCTTAATATGGTGCTTACGTATTTTAATGTTCATGAGTGTTAAAACAAACCTCCCGAAACAGGACTATCGATAAATCTCAAATTACGTTCTCGAGCCTGCGATGCAATCAGTTGAGACACTGATGGGTCCACAGTACTGCTATCAATCAATAGAACATTCTTTTGTACTGTACTAAAAAAACAAATCAATCATAAATAAGCTAAATACAAATTGCAATTTATTATGCATTTATTTGTCAAGTTTTACAAATTCATTGTAGACGTCAGCAATTTGAAAAAATTGCTGACGTCTAAAATTTATTTTACCTAAGCACACCGTTCTCGCTAGTGTAGACATCAAGGACATGCTGATTTGAAGGTAACATCGAGATGATAACATCAGCTTCTTTTGATACTCCGGCTACATTAGACGCACAGCCTGCACCTGCTTCTATTAAATTCGTCATCGTCGATTTATTTAAATCATATACAGTGAGTCCATAGCCCTAAAAGAATTAATATTTAAATGAGGATTCTTTAGTTAAAAAAGAACACTATATAGTGACTCACTAAGTTTAATCGATTACCTTCTTTAGGAGATTTTTCGCCATGTGACCACCCATGTTACCCAATCCGATAAATCCGATTTTTGAATACAATCTTGTTCCTGGATCCATAAAATATATTAATGTTAAACACGTGCGGCTGTTTTGCAAAAAATAAATAATTTATATATTTTAATATGTATAAGTTTGTTTAACGTTTTAGTAAACTCCAGGGAATGGCAAATTACTTTTTAAAAGTAACAAATTACAGTTATTTGTTATCGAATAAAAAAGTAACTGATTACCGTTACTTGAAAAAATAACTTTTTGTTATTTTTCCATTACTTTTTTTAAAATCAGTCTAAAAAGTATACTTTTGCATTTTATTTAAATGTTAATAAAAGCAATATACAATAATGACAGTCCAGCTTTATGTTTTAAGTTTTTTCTTAAAAACATTAATTTATAATTCTGAAGCATGTAAAGTATGCGAATACTGAGATATCTATTCAATATATCACGTAGAAATGTAAATAATATAGGGAGTTTTTGCAATACCGTTTATCCCAGATACGGTGAACGTTAAAGTCACGTTATCTTTTTCTTCACACCTAATTAAGAAAAAGATAACGTAATTTCCTTAATTTTAATTAAATCGTATCTAATCATTTGCGCCAAGTAACGATAAAAGTAATTGTAAAATTCGTTACCGTTACCAAAAAAAAGTAACTACATTACCAACTGTTGCAGTTATCAAAAAAAGAAGAAATAACTCAGTTACCAGTAAAGTTACCCAGAAAGTAACTGTAACAGTTACAAGTAACGAGTTACTTCCATTCTCTGATATTTCACAGTAGTAAGGACAGTCACACATATTTTTCGTAACGGTAACTGTAAAAAACAAAAATGATCTTCAATAAACAATTTGTTGGAACATTCTTTCGTTACATGTGTATATGAGAACAAAAATTTTCTTTAATAAATAGTTCAATGTTTTTCACTTAGCAATTCTCAAATTATTGTGTTTTTTTTAATTTTAAATTTATATCAATTTATGAAAATTTTGGAAACATTTAATGATCACATGAATAATTTTAGCATTTCAAATGTTGAGACTCTCATTATTACGCATAATAATAATTTAATAATCTTATTAGAATTATTTCAATGAATTAATTTGGAATGTGGTGTTCAAAAATAAAAAAAAATATTACCTGTCGTCATGTTGATGGATAATTTTGTAAGTATCGTGAAACCACTCATCTTGGACACTTGGAAAATAATAAATTATAAAAATCAATAAATAAACGTCATATGTGAGCAAAGAACATACTAATATTTATGTCGATCAGTTAAAAAATGTTGAACAAATAAAAACTTGTTCCAAGACACGCAATCAGCTGCTCGTTAACACGCGTTTGTGTATGTTAGACAAAAGAATTGTTAGAAGATAAATCTTTCGCAGAGAAAAACAGAAACATATTTTAGGTTGTATATAGAAGAACACTGCCGATGACACGAAAAACGCGACAGCAGCGACGTCTGATCTATGATTTAGCATAAAAACACATTACGTAACTTGATAAGAATTGATAATGAATGACGTTTTAAAGGCGGGTAATTCGAATGAATTCTTTATAATTTGCTCATCCATCATTCTCTAATTAAAAAGATAAACTATTTTAGAAAATATAAATTTCTCTCTAAACCCATGAAATTCATAATTATAATATTTTTTGTATTAATTACGTTAAAATAGGAATTATAAAATTACCAGAATAATTAACAAATACACATATTTTTCTCATGATTATTATTAACTACTTATTTGGAACATGTGAAACTTCCTACTGGTTTAATGTCTTTTTGCAAATCGTTAATTCACGACCATTAGTCAGTAGAGATTATTATTTTGATCATAGAACGATTAGGAACGCTCGCGATAATGCGAAAATTAATATTCCAGCAATATATCATTATTATTTATGATAGTATAACGTCAAATGCAAGTAATAGTTATTATTGTCACATCTGCATATTTCTATTGAGCTATTTTTCTTGTTAGAAGTATTTATTAACACCACGTGTGTTTTATTTTTTATTGTTATAAATATTCTATGACATACTAAGGAGTTGTAATATTGTTTTATAGTTCCTCTTTTTTTATAACCTATAAAATGAGACAACATTGATAATAAATTTTTTCCAATAGAGTATTACGAGAATAAAAACATCTCTCTGCAAATTGCAATCTAATGACAATTAAACACAAATCTATTTGAAATATCAAACCATTAAGTATTTGATTGAGTGCTATTAAAATTAATTATACAAATATTATTAACAATGTTAATTAATTAATTGTATATAAACAATTTAATTAATTTAGACACTATCAATTCTTATCGGACCGCTAGAATTCAAACTGAATGAGAACAATGCCGCAACGGTCTAAGCTGAATTATGGGTGCTTCTATATAATTGCAATGCGTGTAAATTTATATACTACGTATGTAAATCTTTGATGCGCGCCGAAATATTTTCAGACTCGAAACGCAACACTAATAAATTATCGCAGTAATATCACGAATTAAATTGACTAACAATTTAACGATTTTTGATACTGTTTACGCATCTTATATCGATCTTGATAATGCTAAATGACTATCAATATCTTTGATATTATTATAACAAATAATTACGCAGGTATAATTTATTTGACCGAAATTTAATAATATGTAAATGTATTATTGTAAATGTTTGAAATAAAAAATTTTATGTTAGAGTAATGTTGATGCACATTTTATTGGATATCATAATTTATAGCACACGTAAACACTGAACATCAAGTATCTTTATGTAGATCAGTAGAACCAAGGACATTTCGCAGCAACTTGTTAGACAACCCTTGTTTTATCAAGATAGTAACGATAGTCACTATATGTTTAGCTTCGTTACTGTCGTTACGAGGCACGCTATCAGTAAATTTTCTTATAGATCACTAATTAAACGTCACAAGCAACGTTGTAGCGGATAATTGAGCAAATGTTTCTTTATCCGCTGCGTAATTACACTTATATCAGCTATGTGGTCTAGCTGCATGTTTATAGAGATCGCCATCGAGGTAGTTATCTGCTGTCAAATTACACCCCTATGTCTCATGTGTACACAATACTATAACGTGGACTGCACGTATAAGTACCTTCGTACAGACATCACCTCACATGCAATTTCATTTCAAGTAATCTACGAAGTCGACTTTCATTCTCATGTCAGACTTACTCGTGTTACGTGTTACTAGTTGTTGTGTGTAATATTATTTGAAAAACCAAGAACTTGTGGTATACGATAATCGAGCAAGTTGGCTTATTTCGACACAATTAATTAGTTAATTAATTCACTTTCAATTCTGTATATCTATACCAATTTAGTATCAATTCATTAATAACACTACTTAACATTCTAGTAAGCAAAAAATTTCATTTTTTTTTTAAACTTAGTTACTTATGTCCTCTTATGTAAAAAATTAGTTTGAATCTTGTTACAAGATCTTATATAATATATTCATACGTTATTAATAGTGCATTTCTCATAATTCTAAGAAGTTAAATAAGCAATATAAGTGTAAACAGACTGAAAATTAAACATTGTATAACACGTACTGTAAATGTGACACTCATTTATTTATGAGATCCTTTTAATTTCCGCGTTGGTACCTTAAAACATGCATAATTGTTCATTGATTTATACTACTACTTCCATGAATAATTATCGTTAAAGGATTATCATTAAAGATTATATGTTGCATAAAGATTGCATGTTTAAATTCGAACAATTTTTTTACAATGACTTAATTATCATGAAAATGCATTCAGTGTTTGGCGTTTTATTACTCATCATTATTCCTGTGTTAACTGACAAGATAAATATTATGAAGAATTCCAAAATGGAATCCTGGATTTCCACAGAAAATTTTACGACAATAATAAAAAAATCATTTTTTTATGCCAAATGTTGCAATATTTTTTTAAGTGGTTCGTATCTCCATTATTTCACAAAATAATGTGCAGCCTATAAAGTGAATTATCTTCTAGAATCGATTTATGATGTGGACACATTATTTCATCAATTTATCAACATTTATCCGCGCGAATATGTTCTACATAAAATAATCTACGACTGCCGAGGATATTTCTTATTAGGACCGACGGATGAAGAAATAGAAAAGGCTATACGAGTGTAAAATAAATATATATATATCTTAATTTTGTATAATAATTCTTGGATAACACAAACTTCTGTACAAATCAAAAATAAATTTGGAAAGAAAAGAGCTTAACTGGGAGTTAAGAGTAGATAACTTTACGCAAACGTTGATATATATCAAGCAAAACCTATTTATTACAATAATTGTGCTTACATGTTTCGGTTCATGTTTGAGCCTTCTTCAGAGACAATGTAAATTACATAAATAAATTATAAATTAAAAATAACGTAAAGGATCAAAAGATGTTTAACCACAGTGAGCTCCTCCACAACCGAGAAATAAATCTGATGTCAATTTCATTTTACAGAACACACTAATATAACTAATTAAAGAAGAAAAAGAAATCATATAGAAAACTGAAATTCTGGGAAAAAATTTTAATCTCCCAGAGTTACCCGGAAAAATAATTTCGAAAATAGATTTATATCATAATTACAATTATTCTAACGGGAACGATGAGGCTCATTACGTTCACAACGGTTCTCAAAACCGATCTTCAGAATAATTTAGGCCAATCAGTCTTAGACACAGTGAGTCACTTCAAATTATTTTACGGTAATAAATTTAAATTATCAAAAATGCAAATATCAAAAGCTAAGACTCAGTTATTATGCACAAGCGAGACTGACTCCTAGCCAGACTGACCAGTTTTGAGAATATTTGCGATACGGTATCGTTGTGAACATAGTAAGTCTCCTCACTCCCGTTAGAATAATTATAATTACGATATAAATCTATCTTTTGATCCACTATGTTATTTTTAATTTATAATTTATTTATGTAATTTACATTATCTCTGAAGAAGGCTAAAAAATGAGTGAAAACATGTAAGCACAATTATTGTAATAAATAGGTTTTGCTTGATATATTATAATATTAGCGTTTGCGTAAAGTTATCTGCGCTTAACTCCTAGTGCCCTTTTCTTTTCGAGTTTATTTTTAATTTTGTATAATAATAATAGTATAGAAAAAATACAATTAAATATAAGAATAATATTACATATAGTAGAATAAATGAAGAGAATCAATATAAAATAATACTATTAAAAAAATTGTATTACTCTAAAATTCATGAAAGTACATAGATATATTTTTTTGGCAGTGTACCTTCGTCTCTTTCAACGACAGAAATTCTTGTTATCATCAATGGTGAATTAAAAAATACTTCGAAGCTTTTTAACGTTTCTTTATTTGGAAATTCCAATGCAAATATCGTTTCAAGATCCGGAATTTGGACTTTGTCAGAAAACTATTTGAAACCTAGATTTTTTTTTAAAGTGCATAGGTATGCAATATCTACAACCATTTTATATATTTATAATACAAATTACTAATTTATTTTGCTAACATTATTCTGCATTATATTATTAAAATGTATCTAAATGAATATATGCTTTGAATGTATATCACAGTTACGAAGAATTGATGTCTGAATTCAATATCATTGATATGAAAGGTAGAGAGTTGCAAGTATGTACTTTTTATCAGCCACCTTTTTCCTACCTTAACAAAACAATTAAAAAAATAATTGACGGCGTCGAAGAAGATGTTTTCTTAGCAGACAGCGGTGAATAAAATTATTTGAACTAAAAATTAATTTTATCTGTTTTAATTATTGCAACAATCTTTGAGATGATAGTATTATATATACATATATTTGCAGTTATTAAATAAATCTGAAAACTAGATAAAATCATGAAAAACGAAACAATTACCATATAAAAACAAAGTAGTAATGTGATAATAATTTATATACCTTACAGATAAAGAAAAGGATGGAATAGAAATGAAAATATTTTTGGTCATGGCGGAGAAATTAAATTTCACTTGGACAATACGAAAATTGAAAGGAAAGTACAGGTAACTTTACGTATTCATTATATTAATACACAGCAAACATTCATCTTAGAAATGAGCTAATTTTTAGATACGGTCGACGCATAAATAGTTCATATTGGGATGGCGGCGTTATTCAACTAGTACTAGAGAAAAAGGTATAATTATTTAAATTAATAATGTAAATTCTAATAAATATTGCTTGATTTAATTAATAATGAATTTAAAGTAACAAAACAATATGAACTTTAATCATAAGAACTGTGAAAAAAATGTAATATTTTATTAAAATTTATAATTATTATATTACTTGAAATTTGTTTTTATAGTAAATTCTAAATATTTCTCATATTTTAAATGTAAAGGAAGAAATGCTCCAAATAACGAAATCTTTTTTTGCCTAAAAAAGTAAATATTAAGTTCTTCTCAATGCAATATAAAATATAATAAAATAATTAAAAATAATTCTAATCTTATATAAAGGTTGATTTAGCATTTGGTAATGTTCGATTAACACCAAATCACTACGAATTCGTGAATATGTCCACACCATGGATTCAAATGTTAACAAAATTTTTGGTACCGCGACCGCAACCGATCACCAATTTTTGGGCGGTCATGAGACCTTTCTCGATGGACTGTTGGATACTTGTATTAATCATGATAATTGCTAAGAGCATGTATATGTATATACGAGCTAGAGTCGATCCAAAATTTCCAAAACGTAAGTTAGAAATGTCGTTTACATTTATGGTACAAAATAAAGCATGTAATTTAAATTGTTTTATAAATGCAAATTTTCTAAATATGCTATCTCAATTTGATTAACCAATCACAGTTATTATTTTTAAGTGCTTCGTGCATATGTTTCAGATAAGATTTAGAAAACTACGGATATAATTCGCATCATATCTTTGTATGATACAAAAAATTATATACTTTTAAACAGTTCCTTTCTTTATAAAATAATGAAACAGTAATATTAGGGAAAAGTTACCGATATCGATGTACCACTTTGTTTTTAGACAATATTTCTCAAACTTAGAATACAAATATAATTTCAAAAACATAAGTACAAACTAAAAAGTGTCTTCTATCAGATAGTACAAGCAGTTTTTATAATACTGTTTGCAATAATTTAGTTTTCCGTAAGATAAACAAAAATGAGGATCCGACAAAATGGGCTTCAAAACTGACATAGTAGACAGTAATGCCTATATTCCTATTTTACAAAAAAAAAATTAATTTATGAAACTATAAACATTTAAAATGACATAATATTATCAATAATACAGTCACTATTACTTAAATTACGTAATTTGCAAAAGAAAATCGTAAAAATGTTCTTCTCGGATTCGTACAGAATTTGTTTTTAGCTGATTTAGTATAAAAATAAGTCACACAAATTATGAGTTTGTATTTCTTAAATTAACTAAATACATGACGTTTTTATTAGTATTAATAAGGTGCAAAGGTTAGTTTCTAAGAAATAAGGGAGGTCAGTTTAGAAGATCTATGTCAGTATTAGTCTCCGACTTTTCCCTATAAATTTTCAACTTTAGAATTGCGTGCTATGACATAACACTTCCTAGGTAAAATATATAAAACAAAATGTTAATTGAAATATATTCTCTTAGGTTTTCGAAGCTTTTTTTGCACAATTACAGAATTGATCGGTCGTTTAGTGGGTACGTGGGTGCCCCGAAATATTGCCAATGCTAGATTCGAATTACATTTATGGCAAACTGCGGGATTCCTACTGGTAACTGCATACTGCAGCAGTCTTGCAGCGAGACTTACAAATTCGGAATATGAAGACAGGTAACTATGTTTGCATTATCTCTAAATTTTATTATTATTTTATTAATTAATGAAGAGTCATTTGTCACTAACTCTTTTCATTTAAGAAGAATATTTCCTTCTTTTATTAAAAAAATATCCTTTTCATTTATATCTAAAAAAAAGATGTCTAAATTACGTTATATATATATATATATATATTTATTGTTTATAGAATCGATACGATACGTCAATTTCTTGAAGCTAATTTATTATGGGGTCATGAAGGTCCAGTACCATATTGGCCTGACTACGTTGACGTGGATGTAATAAAATTTATATTTAAATAAACGATTATTTTTTCTACTAATAACACGATAAATATACATGATTTTAGGATATTTACGCGAGTCAATTGTCATCGAGATATACTCCCGTAAAAGGTCAAGAGGCTTACATACATACACTAATCGAACAGCGTAAATTTGCAATTTATGGGTTCGTCATAGATTCGATTTTCTTTCCTGAAGATGATATTTTTAAGGAGCATATTAAAGTAAGTAGCAAGAATGCATTTACTTACAATATTAAAAATAACCAAACTGAACTGTAAACTTTGTTTGTAAGAATTACAGACTCATGAAACAAAGTACGGGCAACTATTATTCATCATTTGTGATCCAATCGTGGCTATTACAACATATCGACATGGTAATATGACAATCACAGATTTAATTTTCAATTTTATATCTGTTATTTGCAAAATATTGTAAAAATATACTGCTTACAACTAAATTTAAAATTATCTTCTTTATAAAAACATTTAAGATAATGATATTTTATGAGACTAATACAAACGTATTATATATGTTTAAAATTAACAATCAAGAGATTAATATAAATATTGCCTTTAACGGTTGAGCTGAATCTTAGATGCTATTATAATTCCGTGTGAATTTATATACTACGTATATAGTCTTTTAAACTACGCGCCGAACAATTTTTCGATCATGAAATGCAACTCTACGAAACTACCGCAATAATATCACGAGTTAAATTGTTCCAATTTAATAATTTTTGATGCTCTGCATCTTAAATCGGTCTTAATAATGTTGAGTGATAAATTAAAATCTGTAAATAATTAATTCTTATTGCGAAAAATATTACCTTGGCCGGGAGTCGATCTCTTACCTTGGCCCGGATCTCTTACATTCCGTGCGAACGTCCTTATCGTTAATCAAGGCCTTAGTAATATTCTTCGCAATAATCAGTTTAAGTAGATAGGAACAACGTTTTTTTCAGGCAACGTAAATAAATAATATTTAAATTAATATTCAATCTTAGGTGCTATTATAATTCCGTGTGAATTTATATATTACGTATGTAGCGCGCAGTTTAAAAAACTCCAGCTCGATTAAAAGCAATTTCTTATTGGTTGTGTTTCTCACATGTAACAGTCGTATAAGATTTAATATTTACATATTGTAATATAAATGTGTTAAGCAATATGTATAAAATTATAATAATCAGTATTTCGAAGTACAAAAATTAATTTATTTATAATCTATTTTATTACAACGAATAAAATTTATGAAAAAAAACTATTATTAGTTTTTTATCAATGTAAATTAACTTTAAGTTCGCGCGAGTGCGATTTAACTTAATTTTATCTTTATTTATAAGAGAAAGATAAAACGTAACTAAATCGAGGTTGAAATTTAAATCCACATTGATAAAAGTGGACATATGTTACGTAAACATCAGCGGAACACTTTTTCTTATCTAAACATTTTCTTATTTTTTTTTTTAGGTGATGCTTTGGTTAAGGGAGAGTGGTATCGCCCTCTTTCATTTAAATAACGTTATGCACCGAAGAATTAGTTTTAATCTTCGTGAAGTTGTCAAAGAGCACGATGGTTTTGATGGAATTTATAAACGCCTTGGGCTGACACCATTAGGAGTTGGATTTTTAACGCTCATTGTTGGCCTCCTGGCATCTACAATAAGATTTTTCTATGAGTTAAAACAAGCATCCAATTCGCGATCGATTCGTGAGGTGTTTAGAGATATTCAAAAGAAACGGAAAATGTACAAGTCATCGATTTATAAAAAAAATTATCATAAAGAAGCTGAGTCAATAGATCACAATTCAAGTAATAAAAATTTCGACTCATTTGTAATTAAGTCTGTTAATCATACAACAAATACTGAATCTACACAAAAATATAATGATAAGATTTTTCATAATAATTTAGGTAACATATAAGTATTATTTATTTTTTATTTCGTAGAATATTCAATTAATATATATCTTTATGTGATTTTTTCTTACAAAGGAAAGATGCACATGAGAACAATATTGTACATATCAATAAAAAACTTATCTTAAGATATGTATATATGTAAACTTACTTATGTAAACCGTATTCTAATTTACATTAAATTTGAATAAAATTATTAGTCTTACATATTTATATCAAATAATGCAATAATATTCACTTTGAAACATAATAATTGATGATTCACTTGATAAAGTACTTACGCAATGAAATGACGTAAAATCAATCTTTTTACATAGAAACAGTTTTTTACATAGAAACTGTTTTTTCTACGTAAAAACAGTTTTTTACGTCAAACAGCTTTTTCTCTCTCATTAAGATAAAATTCAAACATATCTGACATGTTTGAATATCTTAAAACAGATTTCATCAAAGACATAGAGAACGGACTGCGCGATCCGTATATAAGTTCGTATATTGTAATATTCAAAAGTAATCAACAATAATGAAAGAGAGGGACTGTGGAAGATTCCCTCCCAATCTCTCTCTCCTGTTATACCATTGAATGAAAAGGGATAGAGATTGATCATCTTCCACGGTCCTTCTCTCTTTCTTTTATCAATGACACACTTCGCGCAGTTCATTCTCTTTGTCTTTGGGTTTCATAAACTTTTTAACGTACTGCTTGTATAGGCAGGTAGAGCAGACTAAATTGAGTCTTTTACTACTTTTATAATTTTTTTTAGTTACCCAATGAGCAGAATGTTTAAAATCGACGCATAAAACAATTCTAAAATATTTTTTAAAGTTCTTTAAGATATACATCTTTGAGATAATTTATAAAGAACTCTGAAAAATATCTCGTTTATACGTCGATTTTATTCTCTTATATTCAGCAATCTTTAGAAATTAACATCTCGTTAATTGTTGCGAAGATTGTAAAATTGTAGAGGACTTTTTGACTCATTATCAGTTTAATTCGGTCTACCTGTCCACAAGCGATATATTAAAAAGTTTAAGACAGCCTGTATATGTATTAAATGCACGTGCTATTGTGATGTGTATCTTACAAATTAGATACGCCATTATATCATCGTATTAAGTTAATTTGGTATAAATATGTGCATATCAAATGCTTGTATAAAGCTATTGATATATTTTGTTATATTAGTATGATATCATTGATATATTTTATTATATTAGTATGATGCTTATCACATGTCCGTAGTCCACGCAGCACATTTTATTCGAGAAACCTCTTTAGGACATTTGGAAGATAACTACAAACAAATTACTTATTTTATGATTAAAGTAACTATTTTATTTGTATTAATATTATAATTAATAATATTTCTCAAATTATAGAGCTCAAAAAGAATGTAGATATATTATAAAGTATATAATATACAACATCAAAATCAGACGTCCACTTTTTTCTAAAAATCACTAAGCAGAAACTCTATCGATCGGCCTTTCACCTATACTAAAAACAAAATTTGGTTGGGTTATTTGGAAATTTGGTAGATTCAACCAACATGTCTGTTCAAAAATGGACGAATCAGAATTCTTGTAATAATTATCAGATGAATTTGATTAATTCCTTTTAGTTAAATTTACCAGAATTTCTTGATCATCGAACAGTTGTTTTCATAACTTTTATCAGAATTTCATATTGACTGAATTAATTTTTCTCGTTAATTATTAGAATTTCTTGTTTGTTGAATAATGCTGTTCCATTGAATCTATCAGAATTTCTTCCGTTTCACGCATGATGCGCATCATCATTTATCTTTGATTCATCAAATATAAACGAAAGGATAAGGCTGCTGTTTCATTTGTGCGTAAATTTTTCAAACCTGTTGATTGACTATAGAATAGAAAGATCCGAAAACTTTTCTATTCTGCACACATTTATCATACAACAAAAACGCACGAATGAAATAGCGATCTAAATGATGCAACATGCGTATCATGCGTAAAACGAAATGCATTCATAATTTATGTGCTAAGCAGTACTTATTATTAACCTTTAAAAACTTCTACATATTTTTCAAAGTTCCATTGACGAAGAACGAATCTAAATGATGCAACATGCGTATCATGCGTAAAACGAAATGCATTCATAATTAAGCAGTACTTATTATTAACCTTTAAAAACTTCTACATATTTTTCAAAGTTCCATTGACGAAGAAGAGCACATGTTTTTTCATCAGCCATAATGACGATACGCGACACAGAACATAACACGCGATACAAAAATACAAAACACGTGCTCGCACTGCTCGCACTCAGTATGACTCGCGCCAACTTGTATAATAATAAAACCATTAAGGTGCGCTAACCAGAATTTTGGTAATGTTATGTATACTACTGAATATAACTAGAAATTTTGTAGATTCAACTAGAAAATATTAAACAAATCCTTATAGTATAATATCTATCAAACGGTCAAGTTATAAAATCTCAAGTCCTGTTATATTTTTACGACTCCTTTTATCTCCTTATGTGGGAGCATAGGACATCTATAGGCCTCTTCCTCTTTTATCCGAGGCCTATATTCGTTTCTCGAATCAGATTGTTTATCGGATTTGTGGGTAATTGATCCACAGAATCCTACCTCAGTCAGATATTAGAGACAAATATCTATAACTGATATGTATACTGATGTATATTGATGTATAGGACCTACAGTTTAACGCCGAATCCGAACGGCGCTGATGATCATAGATTTTTTGATCACCAGGTGGAGCCATTTTTTGGCTCATTAAACGCGAAAAGTCGCGTTTGGGCGCACGTGGGATTGAAACTCGGGTCTACAGATCGCGAGTCAATCGCACTGAGCGGTGAGCCACTCGACACTACAAGTCCTGTTATATATAGAAATTCTGCTAGATTTAAAATGCATTTAACCAAATACATCTTGTTGATATAATCAAACCATTCTTCTCAGTGTAACAAATTATTTTTTCTTCAATAATTGTTAATTAATCATTAAATAGGCTTATTTATACTCTTATAATTTTATTTCTATTTTTTGAGTTTCCTAAATACGCGTATACGCAAATGCGTATATATATACACGCACACAACTTCCTTCAAGTTCAAGTCTTAAGCAATATGCAATGAGATCATCGGAAATTTTGTGAGATGCAACGAAAGCATACAAAACAGTTTCATGATTTATTTCAACATTTAAGTTCTTTAGACGAAACATGGAAAACACAATCTGCAACAATCACTTATAAACAACATTTTATATACAATACAAATGAAACATTTATATGATAGCATCAATATTACGCATTGAATCGTATGATGTTCGAGTCTACTATCGGTATATTCTGAGAAAATATCGATAATAATGTTCTCAGAACGGATAAAACATTGTTCCTTTTTAGTTGCACCATAAATACATATACTAGCTGACTTATGAATAAATTTCGCGTCACAGACAGTTTGCAACTTCATTATTGTGAGCTCTCGAAGTGAATAGAACTATATATATGTCTCGTATTTCATTATCATTAATATTGAATGATTGAATTGTGTATTTTTGTAATATTATATTAATGTGAAATTCTGTTTTATATTTTAAGGAAACAATTTGGATTTCATCAAATTCAAATTGTTTGTGAAATGCAACGAGGATATAAAAATAGCCCGCAACATTCTTGCTAAACTGTTGAAGCGAATATATCAAAGCGAGTAATATCGCGTGTCGTATCTTTGTTATTTACAAACGAGTTCTATTTTTACAATATTGCATTATCGTCCAAAATATTTAGAAACGCTTCTTTGACTTTACATAATTCAAAGGAACATTTTTTATTTTATAAAAGGAAGAAAGATAATATTATTTTATTATTGTTGTGTATACGTGACCATTTAGTTCTAACTTAAACACTCGAACCAGAGATGGAAGAAAGACATATCGACGACAGTAAGTATTTACCAAAATACAAAGAAAATTGTCATGTTATAATTGTTACTTTGTCATTAATATTAAAGCTAGAATTAAATTATAAAATACAGCTAGCTTATAAAGTTCAATTTAAAGAACTACACACGTAATATAAAAATTCACACGGAATGATAAAAACAACAGTTCTTTAAACTGAAACAATTTTTCGATCTTAAAATCCAAACTTTACTAAAACCACCGCACAAATATCACAAGTTAAATTGACTATAGCAATTCAACAATTCGTTATTTCTAACGTATTTTAGAATGATCTTAATAATGTTAAATGACATTAAAATCTGTAAGTAATTAATTCTTATTGCGAAAAATATTACCTCGGCCGAGAGGCGAATCCGGATCTCATCTTGCATTCCGTGTGAGAGAAAACGTATTTACATATCATCGTATTTGCAGTTCAAACGCTGACGATAGATGAACATTTTAAATTATTGATAAATGATAATGACATAATTAACTCAAATTTCGTCGATATAACGTCCAACAATCTTCCAAATTGGTATAATGAAAAATTATTTAAAGAGTAAGTATATTCAAAAGAGAAAGTGATACTATGTTGAAACTGCAAAGTAGTGGATAATAATATTAATGTAATGTTATTCGTAATCTAAATTAAAAATTTTTTTTGTGTTAAATTTGCAAGAAAAAATCAACTACTGATGATAAATATAAAATAAATATAAAATAATTATATATTATTCAAGCTCAATACCACATTTTTACGACAAATACAAATGTGTGTGTAATATCAAATAATTTAGAAAGTTCCAGCTGTATAAATTGTAGAAATTTCTAAACTATCGTAAACAATAATTGCATTAATAATACATTACTGGCAGTAAAATTTCAATAAAATTTATATTAGATCTATACAAATTGCATATTTTTATTTCAGAGCTCAAAACTATTACAAGCGAAACATAATGTTAATGATACAAGCCAGTTTCGCCGGACTTCTTGCAATAATAGTAGTCCCAGAAACATTAAAGGTAATAAAATTTTTTATTTTTTTATAATTAAATCGTTTATTTAAACACAAAAACTATACATGTATATACATATAAGTTTGTCAAATAATAAAGAAACATTGTTTATTAATTGAATGTCTAAAAAAATGTGTTTGTGGATTTTTAATAGGTACTCATATACACGCAAAAAAGCAATATGCCTTGCGTGACTTTCAGCAGATATACTCAAACTTTGTTGCACATGTACAAGCTGTATACATGTGATCTAAACGACGCAAACTCCGAGTAAGTTTTATTATAAAAATAAGTAATAATAAGGATCAACACATGTATAAAACAATACAAATAAAAAAAGGGCACAGAGCCAAATCTGTTTAACGTACGTATAATTCAAAAATATATAAATATAAAAATTCAGACGTTTTGACACCGATCGGGTCTTTTTCACAATGTATATAATTATAAAATTAAAATATAAATTAGAAAAAATACAGTAATTGTAAAAAATTCTTCATCCAACTGCAAAAGTACGGTATACATGATGTTATAAATTGATGTCATAATAAGCAAAAAAGATCCTGATAAAAGTACAAAGATAAAACTTAACGGAGTTCTAAAAAAAAATTTTTTTAAAGACTATGATTTTATTTATCTTGTTAAAAATAGCGCAAAAAGAGTTAAAATGTTCATGAATAAAATTCTTAATTCATCAATGTCAATAATTTGTCTCTGTACAATAGAAGTTTATAATGTTAATTTAATTTAATTTTTTTATTTTATAATATTGTGACAAAGAAGAATTTTATTCATGGACATTTTAATTCTTTTTAGGCTATTTTTAACAAGATAAATAAAATCATAGTCTTCAAAAAAATTTTTTTTTAGAACTCCGTTAAGTTTTATCTTTGTACTTTTATCAGGATCTTTTTTGCTTATTATGACATCAATTTATAACATCATGTATATCGTATTTTTGCAGTTGGATGAAGAATTTTTTACAATTACTGTATTTTTTCTAATTTATATTTTATTTTATAATTATACATTGAAAATGACTCCATCGGTGTCGAAACGTCTGAATTTTTATATTTTTGAATTATACGTACGTTAAACAGATTTGGTTCTGTGCCCTTTTTTTGTAAAGTTTTATTATCTTTTATATGTTTTTAAGGCTTCTACATAGATATAGGTATAGGTATATTTTGCGGATATCAGCATCAAACTACTTTTCGCCTTGATAAAACTGCAATGTTTAAGACACGTTGGCAGTCTACTAATAGATTTGGACATAGAAATAATTCGTAAAATAGATAGCTTCTGTCTTTTACAAATATTGCAGTTTTTATTGCATTTTTTTATTCAAGACATTTATTATTATTTTCAATTATCACAATCATTTGCTGTAACATTTTCTCTATTTTAATTTTTATATATTTTTGCTGTTTTGACATGGTGGGAGAGGAGCGGCACACAATTACAAAATTTTTTATCTGCTTAACTATCATTTTTCTTATCTTCTATATAATTAAATAATTACTTAAATTCATTCCTTAATTTTACTTTCCATATCAAAATACTAAAATTTCTATTATTATAAAAAATGTATTTATATACAAATTAATTTTTATATTCTGTTATAGCATGTACAAGACATTAAACGTAATTCATCGGAAACATAAGATGAGTAGCAAGAGATCAGAGAATGCTGGTATCGGAGGAATTTATCAACGAGATATGGCAATCACACAATTTGCTTTTATAGGATATGTATTAATCGCTCCAAAATCCATCGGTTTGTGCATTAAGCCGCAAGAAGAAGAAGCACTTAATCATTTCTGGCGTGTGATGGGTCATATGTTGGAAATTCCCGATCGGTAATGAAAACGTCAAAAATATATTTTATTAAAAAAGAAACCAGAGGATCTATAAATACAATTTTTTTGTTATATAATCTTGTAATATACCTAATTTCTAATATATAATTAATCAAGTTGATGTGAATATATATTATACCTCTGGTCTCGTCCTGATGGAAAACTAATTGTAGTCGTACACCCGCGCACAACCACAATTAGTTTTCCATTCGGACGAGACCCATCGGCATAATTATGATCGAACTTCATTTGGTAAGTTTGTTTGATCTATAAATTATTAATTATATATAATATTAATTCTATAATTCTATAAGTTTTCATTAATATTTATCATTATTTACAGATTAAATTTATGTCGCAAAACTGCAGCAGAAACTCGTGAATTATGTCAAAAGGTAGCCAATATTTTAACAGAATATTTGAATAATGCTCCAATGGAATTCTATCATATAACATCAGCCATATTAGATGGATTGTGGTACTTTGACGTAACTTTAGATAAACATGCTTTTCTAAAATTTACCTATGAGCTGCATGGTATAAAATGTAAGTGTATTTATTTTAATTACTTGCACATTTAACATACCAGATTCTAATTAAGTAACTTACTTTTCACTTAAAAAAAATCGGACTTGGAAAAGAGTACAAGTAATAATTTATTTTTATGAAAATTATGTATTATACTACGGAATTATGTATTATATTTACGGATTTTGAAATGCAGCCGGCTTATCAAACGATCGATTTTTATAAATCTAATTATTTACGTACAAGTACTTTGAACAAAACTGAGTTCTGAAACCGATCAAAAAAAGTGTTGCAGCTTTTTAACTGATGAGTGTACATATGATGATTGTATTAATTTTATTCTTGTCATGTAAAAAAAAATTACCAATTCTTTGATTTTATTTGAACAAATATTGATATAAGGTAATAAAGTTTCTTAAAATGTTTTACCATACAAACATACAAACTTGCTATACAAAAATATATTAAAATTATCATTAATTTTTCGGTATTATATATACAATTTTTATATTCTAAAGTTCTATTTTTGTATTATATAACAGAAAAAACTGTAAATATTATAATATTTACTGTATAATTAAAGCTTTTAAGTTACTAATCTGATTTTAATTTAAATTATAAATAATTGTTTAACGGGATTTTTGCGTTACAGAAAAGATATAACATATTCAATAAAAAAATCATTAACATTTCAGATAATAAACCACTTGGATGGTATAGTCGACTCAATGCAAAATATCGCGATTTTATATTTTATCTTTGTCGTAAGTATTATGTTAACATGCATCATATATTCTCAATATTATCTGCGTGTTAATTTATTCTTCTGTTTTAGTTGTACCTTATATTGGAGTAATAGTAAAAATTTATTATAAATACGTGCTTTTATTTACGTTGTTGCTTGCGAAGAAATGGCCTGTATTAGCATGGTTGTCATTTGGAAAAAAAGATTCTCATATAAAACTGTATTAAAAATTCTATCGTATAATTATGTGCTCTATCCCTTTTTATATTTTTATATGTATAGTATTATATCTAAATAACAGGAATTAACTATATCTAATTAATGAAACTTTTAATGTATATATGTATGTATATTTCAAAATGTTTCAATCGATCCCTCCAAAATCTAATTTATAAATATTTGCCATTTTAAGTATCATTTTAAAAAATTCAGTTTAGTATATTAATATGTCATTAATAAAGAAATAAATAGTGCATTTATTTATTTTATAAAAAATTTAAATTTATTTGCCGTTGTATTTCTGAAGTAATCTATAGTTTCCGCTAGATATAATGAATCAAATCAACACCGATCAATCAATATTATCTTTGATTAGGAATATATCTTGCTAACAATATTAATTTATAAAATATACTATTTAATAACTATAATAGTTATTTATACTATCTAATAACAAACTGGCTTTTCTCTGTTTCTGTTTCGGAGAAAGTTAGTCTTTTGCGATAAAGTATCTATACGTGCATTATATCATTAGTTAATTACTATTATTATTTAATTTCTAATTAAGATAATTTTCGAAATATAAGGTGTGAAAGCTAACGAAAATTTTTGCGCAGTTGTCAATGTGAATTAAACTTTTATTATTACAAATTGTTACTATACAATAATTTGAAAGACGCACACAATTATAAATGCTGCAAAATGTTATTTAATTAATTACAATAATAAATTAGAAATAAGATCGTCTTATGAATAAATCAACTAACAATAAGAGAAGCACTAAACTAAGGAAGAGAAGCTCCATTTACGATCTAGGGAGATGTGTTGGAATAATACATCTATATGTATTTAAATAAATTTATCCAGATGAATGATTAAGCGTCGACTATTTTTCGGATTTGCAATACAATAGACATGTGTGTATGATAATGAATAATAATAATTCTCCTAAATTTAATGCTAATAACACATTTTAATAATATATATATATATTTAGTAATACAATAATTGAGCTGGACATTTGGTTTGGACTTTTACGTTATAAGTTTCATTTCAGATATTGACTACTGTCAATATCTGAATCATCGGTAGCCGACACATACCCTGTGCCACAGATTTCCGTGATTTCCAACAATATACTAAAATAAGTAATTAAGGTTCTAAAATTGTATAAAAAATAATAATTTCCTAACATAGTTTCCCACTTCGGTTTCTGCGATACATAATACTATAAAAATTCGTCCAATGTGTGTGTGTGTGTGTGTGTGTGTGTGTGTGTGTGTGTGTGTGTGTGTGTGAAAAATATCAAGTAATAGACTTATAATCGTTATATAACGAATGGAACACACACACACGGGCGGGTGCAAGGGGGTGGCCTTCGGCCCCCTCCTCCCGCACCCACACATAATATAGTAAAATCCAAAAAAATTAATTTTTTTAAATCATGTAAAGGTTAATCCGCCATTTTTTGAATAAAACTGTATTTCAAATACATAATATAATATAATTTCTCAGTAGGGGACACTGAACGTCGCAAATTCTGTCTAGAATAGTTTCTTTCTAAAGAATAACCTTTTATTAATACAGAGTTGATGCGCATTGGTGTACGTTAAAGCGTTGATTTGAACACAAATCGACACACATAAAGATATATTATATATATAATAAAAACATAGTAGAAACGAGTTACATCACGAAACTCTTAATACATTTTATTGTGCTTTAATATATTTTATTGTATATGATAAAATACATCTCAGTTCATATTTAATATAGACTGTGATAACTTTTACAGATTAGATTAATATAACACATCACTTAATAAGTCCCGGGCCTGACATAATAGATGGCACACTAATTACAAATCTATATGATTTTTGGAAAGTACTAAACCTTCAAACATACGTGTTAAAATCTTAGCTCAATCGGACCTTTACTTTACAAGTTACAGTGGTTTAAGTGACGCTACTTTTGTCGAATTTTGGCAACCAGAGCGTTCAGCATCATTTGTGAGCATACCACTCCTTAACTGTTGTTTTCGACAGAGCAGAGTCCGAATAACACTTAAAGCCATTGCTTTGCTTGAACGGTATTTTTTCCCATCAGGAAGCAATGCTTTATCAACACATGAAATTCAGATTTTTCCATTGTTTTGAAAAATGCAAAAGTAGCGTCGCTTAAACCACTGTAACTTGTAAAGTAAAGGTCCGATTGAGCTAAAATTTTGACACGTATGTTTGAAGGTTTAGTACTTTTTAAAAATCATATGGATTTGTTATTAGTGCGCCATTTATTATGTCAGGCCCGGGACTTATTTAGTGATGTGTTACAACGGCTTTAATATACACTGAGTACAAACCGGGCCCATATTCTGTACACGGCTATCGACAGTTGTCGGTGTCGTTAAATAGCGATAGCCAATAAGAATCGCACTTATCTCCTAGAACAGTTCTTATCATTGGTTATCGCTACTTAACGACACCGACAGTTGTCGGTAAGCGTGTACAGAATAGGCCCCCTGTTCTATCAAGAAAGAACGATATTATATGTACATAGGGTAAACCCGGTATATACGCCGCACCTATCGAAAACTTAATTTATCAATTATTATTTACTATGTTTAAAGCAAATTAATTATACAAATAAAAACTTTGTATCATCTACTACTGTAAAAAAAATATTAGAAATCCAAAATAATTTATTTTCCATATTAAAAAGTAACTTTTTCAAACCCCTGCATTTTTGCCATTTATCCCATAGGGGGGGGATGGCCACTTATATATAATTCATAAGAAAATCACAAATAATCTATAAATAAGATGTAAAATGACGACGTAACTTGCATTGTTTATTAATATATGACAATTTTTATTGTTCAGAATGAAAAATGGAATACAAACAGGACTTAATACAATTTTTTAAAATAGCTTCAAATCTTTGAAAATAATCTTTAAACGTTTAAGATTTATCAACATTTATGCATTAATGCAAAATATAATTGTTAGAATTAACAAAAACTTCTTAAATAGAGCGTCTGTGCTGCGGCACAGCATCCCGCTCGCTAAAAATGCCGTATATCCCAAATAGATGGAATATATATGACAACTAATTAAACAAACAATACAGGAGCAAAGCACTTGTATTTTGCTATACAACATGCTTTACTATTCCTCTACACATATGTATTGCAAAATAACCACTAAGTCTTTTACACGCTCTATAATAATCATTTTATGTAGATTATAAATTATGATGGCACTACTTATTACAGTAAAAAATCGATTTAACTCGCAATAATTTCATTAATATTAACAGTAAAGAACTGAAATCATAACATAATACTAATATACCATAAAGGCATGTAACAAAGTAATTGACGGAAAATTATCCCCACTCCTTCTATTTTTTCTGACTTCTGCGGCGTATTTCCTGACGCGGCGTATATACCGGGTTTACCCTATTCATACTAGTATTAAATTGTTCGCTGAACGAAAACACGCGCTGCTGCGATCTACAGTCTATACTCGTAATTTATCTGATGCGTTACACTGCATAGAATCTTACAGAATCTTTCGTTGATTGTGACTTTTGATAAAAATATACGTAGTAAAATGAGGAACAAACATATCGACGATGGTAAAGAAAGATTTTATCATTCTTAATTGAAATCTACATAAAACATAGAAAGAATAGCTTTTTTATCGAAGCAGTGCTCTCTGAGTTTCAAAAAATAAATTTCATTGTTAAAAGAGAAAAGTGTGTCTTTCCAAGAGAGAGAAAGAGAGAGAGAGAGAAAGTTTCAATCAAATTGAATATAAAATTTTAATTATAGTGATCAAAATATCACATGTTATACAAATGAGTGTATCAACAGTGCCTAATATAATTATGATATTTCGTTACCGATTTTTGTTTATTTCGCGTAAAGTAAATTAAATCATACATTGATTAAATTAAAATAAACCACTAAAATATTAATGCAGCTTATGTAAGTGCAAAAACATGATAATTGAACATTAGACTTTGGACTCAACATTATAGCAATTATAATCGTTGAATGTACATTACAATAACCTTGTACCACATACCACAGATTATACATAATTGTATTGTATATCAGAATATTTTTGATATTTAATCTCATTAGTTATCGCATTATTATTATAATCAATAAGATTTTTATTGTTTAATAAAGAATATATTATAAAATTATATTTTATTTTATATAATGTGTATTCTTTATTTATTATTTTTTGTTTTTTTTTGTGTTTATGCAAATATATAACACGTATGTCACAGTCCAACCACTGACGGTGGATGAACATTATAAATTAATCATAGAAGATAAGAGTGTAATCGATCCGGAAGCAACCGATGTAACATCCAGTGACCTTCCAAAATGGTACAATAAACAATTATACAAAGAGTAAGTATTTAAAAATTAAATTAAAAGATATTTAAATTCCAATACAAAACTTTCTCTAAGACTGTTATGTGACTAAACAACAATTAGAAAATATGAACCCCAATCTAAAATCGTAAAATTAGATTTTTAATGCTGAAGTAATTCTGTGTGAATTTGTGTACTACATATATGTATGTAATATTTTTTTTAACAATAAATATCAAACAAAGCTCTCGATGTTAAAACAATAAAAGGATAAAATAAAGCAATTCGAGAGAGTTACCGATAATCATAAATAAAAGTTTTCACATAATAAATTTAAAAAATTATAATTAATAAGGATTTAAAATGTATAGATACATATCTAATTTTGCGTATTACATGTTTCGGCTCTTGAATTGAGCCTTCTTCAGATGCATCGACGAAAGAAATTCATTATATTGTAGACGGTAGAATTATGATATATTATTATGTGTTGCGATGTCGGAATGAGTGACTCTCTGTGGAATCAAATTCCCTGATAAAAGATTGATAAATCGAATGTTGACCGAATTGATAATCTGGTTTAATATAACGTTGAGTTATGTTTAAAAATGTCATAGTTTTGTAAAGTTCTTTATCTCACTTAAATGACTCACCCAGACAGGGTGATGTGTTTTTCGCAATGTCATCGGTATTCTCGAAAATTGCCCTTCATTTTATATATATATCCTTTCATTATTTTTTTTTGATACCGCAAATTATTTTATTAGCTTTGCTTTTTTTATATTTTTAAAAATCTAATGGATACAATTTTAGAGCTCAAAACTTTTATGAGCAAAACTTGATGTCGATAGTAGCAGCAAGTGTACTAGGACTTGTTCTAGTATTTGCAGTAGAATCAATACTGAAGGTACTAAAATTTTATATTTTTTATCAATAATACAAGTATATTAAAATAATTATTTTTAAATAGTAATGCATTTTTGTTATATAGTATAGATATTATTTTGTTGTACAGTATATAATTTTGTACAATATTAATGAGATATTTTTATCTTCATACATTTCGATTAAATCGTAATCTCAATATAAAAATACATTCTACTGTATTTAACAATTTTTATTAATTAAAATTTAATGTAAAACAAAATATTAATTATAGTCAAATTCTTTGTCTTTTAACAGGTGCTCTTGTATACAAAACGAAGTAACACGACATGTTCAGCTTTTAAAAGATACATCGAAACTATATTACATATAGATAACCTATATACATATGATTCAAGTGATACAGACTCCAAGTTAGTTTCTTCTAATCTACAATTTTTTTTATATCTATATGTTTGTCTTTTATTATTTACGATACAAATAAAATATCAGTAGTCATTATCTACGAAATGTTTGTTATTTATATAGTACAATAAATATTTATTATAATTATCTGTACGCAAAATAATTTTCAGAATATATTACACAAAATATTTAACAGAATAAAAAAATTATGAAAAAATAACATTTTTTATTTTAATTATAATATCATTTATAAAATATTATAGATTGTACATGTTTTAACAATGAATATAAACGATACTAAATTCTATATCGTTTTTTAATTGATTTTTATTTAACTAGATTTCTCATCTCTAATAACTGAGATTGCGAAACATATACTTTGTTTTTTAATCTGTTGATCATGTAACATATATTACGTATTAACTTCAGCATCAAGATACTACTGTAACTTCTGTTTACATGATAAGCATATTTACGAAACTTTATAGTAATATATATAATGCGTTAACAAAAGATGTTGCAGATATAAAACTTAAATAATAAATAATTTTTTAATTACAGTGCATCAAAGGTAAAAGAATTGTACCTACATAGTACCTTTTACACTGTAAGTCAAAACTATCCACTACTAACAAGGGAAGTGCCCAAAGTGATTATTGAGAATTGATACAAAATATATATCGTAGAAAAGGTCTCGCCGAGTAGAGTTCAACTGTACAATATTTCGCTTGAATGACGCCTCTAGAGGGCATTATGTGCAATAAAAGTTATACAAAGTCTAATGATAATAAGAATTTGACTTTGGATTGAGTTTCTAGGGTCATACGTGGAGTTTAGGGTTAAAAGATATAAACTTTTCTTTTGAAGAACCCATTTGCCAGATTTGTAATTAAAATGTTACATGCATCAAATCTTCATATGATTTCTGCAGTAGACCTTTTTGATACGATTGTTTTTCTGAACTTTATCATACCATTAGTCTTTTTGCTTTTCCTTTTTTCTCTTTGCTCTTATTTTGGTTTCTGAAATGAAACGAAAACCGCGATTTATATTTTATTAACCAGTTCATTGAAATTTTTTTTCCAAAACTGGTAGAATTTTACAATCCATTTTTTCTATTTTTTATTTGCTTTAATTTTTTAAATTTATTTTTACTTTATATTTTTTTGTTCTTAATTTTTTATATTTCAAATATAAACTTAGAAAGAAAAGGGCATTAGGAGTTAAGCGCAGATAACTTTACGCAAACGCTGATATATATAATATATCAAGCAAAACTTATTTATTATAATAATTATGCTTACATGTTTCGGCTCATTTTTTAGCCTTCTTCAGAGACAATGCAAATTACATAAACAAATTAAATAAATAAATAAAAAATAATAACAAGGATCAAGTGATGTTTAATCACAGTGAGCTCCCCCACACCAAGAAATAAAATCTGATGTTAATTCCATCTTACAGAACTTATAAATGTAAAGGAAATAAACAAATAATTAAAGAAAAAAGAGAAAGAAATTAATAGTATGCTGAAACTAAGAAATTCTGAGTTAATTTCGAAAATAGATTTATCATAATTACAATTATTCTACCAGGAGTGAGGAGGCTCACTATATTCACAACAATACCGTATCGCAAACATTATTCTCAATATTCAAAAACCGGTCTTTAGAATAATTTAGGTCAATCAGTCTCAGACACAGTGAGTCACTTTAATTGTTTGACGGTATTAAATTGAAATTATCGAAAATACAAATATCAAATGCTAAGACTTAGTTACTGTGCACAGTGAGACTGACTAGCATTTATTTATGTAATTTGCATTGTCTCTGAGGAAGGCTTAAAAATGAGCCAAAACATGTAAGCATAATTATTATAATATAATAAATAATTTTTGCGTGATATATATCAGCATTTGCGTTATTTGCTAGTGCAAAGTTAACTCCTATAGTACCCTTTTCTTTCCAAGTTTATATTTGAATTATACAAGAGTTTTTGTTATATAAAAATTATTATACGTTTTTATTTTTTATATGTTTTTTAGGTTACTACGTTGGATTCGATATTTTAAACTTGAAAACTTCGACTCTAGATTCATTACTAGCGATAAAAAGACCCTTATAGGTAGATACAGTTCTATATAAAATATGAAATTATTCGCTCTCACCTTGTGGAAAAAGAAATTTCAGTGATCTTGTTAATAAAATATAAATCGCGATTTTCGTTTCATTTCATAAACCAAAATAAGAGCGAAGAGAAGAAAAGGAAAAGATCAATTGTAATGATTACGTAAGGAAAAACAATTGTAATAAAGAGATCTACTGCAGAAATCATATGAACATTTGATGCACGTAGCATTTTGATTACAAATCTGGCAAATGGATTCTTCTAAAGAAAAGTTTATATCTTTTAACCTTTTAAAGTCCATGTATGAACCTAGAAATTTAATCCAAATTCAAATTCTTATTATCATTAGGTAGACTTTGTATAACTTCTATTGCAAATAATGCCTTCTAAAGGCGCCATTCAAGCGAAATATTGCACAGTTGAACTCGACTAGGCGAGACCTTTCCAACGATATAATATATTTTGTATCAATTCGTAATTATCGCTTTGAGCGCTTCCCTTGTAAAACTTGTATTTATTTGGACACCTTTTGTCTAACACATTATATATGTTACATTGTATGAAAACTAAACTCATTTCACTGAAATCTAATCCGTATAATTAATTCAAAATTTTGTTTATTGTAGAATTGTATTTAGAAATTTAGAACTGTACTCTAAAAGTATTCTTTGAATTATTAAAATTATATCAAAAATTTATTTAAATATTAAAGTCTGTTACATAAAAAGAAATACATATACATAAGAATAAATTTTGAAACTTTTAATATCTCGATTAGGCATTTTCACTTTCTATGTTTTTTAAATCTTACGAGTCTACGAATATTCATCATTCAATATATATATTTTAATATCTTGTTAGATGGTACAAATCGATAAACACAATCCGTTGGCATCACACAATGAGCACAAGAATGACAAAAAAGGCTGGTATTGGAGAAATTTATCAAAGAGATATGGTACTTACACAGTACGCCTTTTTAGGATATGTCTTCATGGTACCTAGGAATTTAGGATTGAAAACTACACCAGAAGAAGATGAAGCATTTAATCATTTTTGGCGTGTAAATGGTTATATGTTAGGAATCACTGACAAGTAATGCATACAATGTTTAATTCTGATTTTTACAAATAAAGTTTAATATTCAAGTATCCAATATATAATATTTTATATTTATATTGTACAATCTCTAATATAATTTAAATAATTTATATACATTATGTGTAGATGTGTATATATAAATTGTATACACTTATAATTGTAAAATATTAATTTTATTCGTCCTTATATTTATAGATTAAATTTGTGTCGTAAAAACGCAATAGAAACAACCGAATTATGTTTTAAAATCAAAGATTTGTTTAGAACTTATTTGATTAACGAGTCACCTGAATTTTATGAAATAACATTAAATACATTGAATGCAATATGGTATACTAATATACTGATGGATGCCGATTTATTCATGGCAATAATCTATATGACACATGATCTTCCACGTAAGTATTCAATTTTCGTATTAATTAGAAATATATTTTTATTTCGATAAATACTATTTATTGTTCTTTTTATAATTTATATCATGTTTTTATTTGTTTCAAGTATTTAATTGTAATATATTGCCGCTAAAAATAAGCAATGTGTTACTTTTATTAGACTAAAAATTATTATTAAAGAAACAATTAATTAAAACATTTTATAGTAAAATTAAAATATTTTTGGTAATTGTTGAAAATAATGAACCCAGCACGGGTTCGTTGTTTTTGACTAGGACTATGTAGTCAAGTTTATAAGTAATCACTACAAAATTTTAGTCGCAGTTCGTTATTTGTTAAAAAATTATGAGCGCTATTAAATATCTAAAATTGGCAAGAAGAATATCGAAAAATTTTATTGTAGAACTGTATAAATATAGACCCTATTTTGCCCTCTAAACAAAAGGAAAAATGTAGGGTAAATTTCGCTTCTTATTAAATCAGAAATAAATTTGAATTTATAAATTTTAAATATAAAGTCATAAGATAAGTATAATTCACATTTATATATTTAACTTTGTTTATTAATAGTTTTTAAACCTAATAACGAGCGGCGACTAAAACTTTGTGAAGATTACTTGGTCATAGTATACCTTGACAACATTATATGCATCGACATATAGAATGGACCGCTGATGGCAATGGTGGGGGTAGAAAGACGGATAAAGTGAGAGGCAGAAATAACATGATCGTTCTTTCTCTGTTTACTGATAACTACTGATTACTATTGGTCGCTGTTAATTCAACAACCAATCAGGCTTCAGTAAACAAAGAAAGAACGATCATGTTACTTCTACCTCTCACTTTATCCATCTTTCTACCCCCACCATTGCCATCAGCGGTCCATTCTATATGTCGATGATTATATGTCAAGGTCACGGTCATCAAAGCTAAGTACATTATTATCTATGTTTATCATTTTTTGTTAGAAAAACAGATTAATTATTAAAATCGATCATTATAATCTTTTAATTTGATTTGATTTGATGCTTGTTGTAACGACTATTACAATATTAGAGACATTTATTTAATTATTTTCATCAACGCTAATAATAATATATTACGTACAATGGTCAAAGATAATTTATTTTTCAGATAAAAAGCTTGGATGGCGTAGTTTGTTAATTAAAAAATACCAAGAATGGTTACTTTATCTATGTCGTAAGTAATGTATAGATATTTGTGTAATATTATTATGTATTCATGTGATATCATTCATATAATCACATATATTTCTCTGTTCTTCGCCTTTTTAGTTGTTCCTTATATCAGAGTAATAGTAAGAGCATACACTAACTTATTTGTGCGAATTGTACTTTGGAATGCACGTTACTTTCCTATACTTGCGTGGATAAATCATGGAAAAGATAACGTTCGATTCAATTTATATCCTAAACATTAACAACTTCGATCTTACTAATAATTTATCACATTAATATAATATGTACAAGTGTTGAAATGTTGAATATTGATTTATAATAAAAATGACGTTTTAATCAATTTTTAATTCTTTTTATTCAATTTTATAATCTAAACATTAAGAACAACTTATTTTCTCTTCCCCAAGTTTTTTATCTCTCTTATTAGGGATATAGTAATTTTACTTATATTTACTGACATATAAAGACAGGTTTACTGAACAGCCTTTTAAAAAGAGTTGCCAGATGGAAAAATATTTTTTATGATCATTTGCCATCGATTTCCGAAAGGTAAATTAAATAAAATCTGATAATATTGTATGTGTTCTTGGTAGATTTAAATCCGGATTTTCGTCATAGAAAGCAGCTACGCGATTTGCTTTATGCCGCAATCGCAACAATTAATAAAGTCTAACTTTGAAAATTCGCTGCTACATAGCGTTAAAAATTTCATAATGTGTACATGTAAGGTAAGATATAAATTTTTAGTGGAGACAATGAATTTTGGAACATAGCTGAAGCATAACCAATATTTAGTTTATTTTACTATATAACACAAATAATAAATAGCATATACTAATTTACAATTGATTATAGGCGTTTATAACGCTAATAGCAATACAAATGTAAATAATTTTATTAGTTGATCTAACATTTGATATTAATAATTTTATTGCTTATAATACTTATATATATATAGCGCACAAATTTCAGTGCACATTTCTATTAATCTTTATTGTATTCTATTAATTAATTTTTATTGTATTTTTAATAATTAATCTTTGTTGTATTTTATTAATAAATATTTTGAATATAAGGAATCTCTTATAATTATCTTTAATTATTAAATGTTGTTATTCATATGGAAAGAATTATCGAAAATTTCTGTTTATATAGTATAATTTTTCAACCAATAAACAAAGTATATCATTTTATAATTGATCGTCTCAATTTAATCAATCACTTTAAAATATATTTTTAGATTACAGTTTTACCTACAGAAATGTATAAGTAATATTTCATTCACAAAAGTTATTTGATTTTTTAGGATGCAAACAATAATAAAATCAATTCTTTTGAATCGTATAAAGATTATCGCCACTTTTTAAATGAAATTATAATGATATGATATAATTTTAATAGTATAATATGTTTTTTCTAAATAATCTACATATAAAATTATTAAGATAAAAGTATAAAAAAATAAGACTCAGCGAAAGAGAACAAACATAAGTAATATTTCATTCACAAAAGTTATTTGATTTTTTAGGATACAAACAATAATAAAATCAATTTTTTTGAATCGTATAAAGATTATCGCCACTTTTTAAATGAAATTATAATGATATAATATAATTTTAATAGTATAATATGTTTTTTCTAATTAATCTACATATAAAATTATTAAGATAAAAATATAAAAAAATAAGACTCAGCGAAAGAGAACAAGGAATACATTGACTAGGAGTAACGTAATGCACCTGCTCTTGTACAAAAGGAGGAGTAAATGCAGTGGGGGACGTTAAACGTTGCAAATTCTGCAGAGAATCGTTTTTCTGTAAAGAATAGGTTTTCATTGAGAGAACATCGCACATTAAAGTCGTTGTACACAAATTGATATAAAAATGTATGTTTAATACACAGATATAGAAACAAGTTAAATCGCGAAATTCTCAATATATTTCATTAAGTATTTTATGAATCGAGATAACTCACTTTTACATTAAGATCAGATTAGTTTACAACGACTTTAATGTATTCTAAGTACATAAGCACCAGTTTTACCAACGATAAACGTTACTAGTATCAAATTGTTCGCTAAAGAATACACACGCTACAGTCTATACTCCTAATTCATCTGACGCGTTACTCTGTACAGAATCTTATAGAAACATTCGTTGATTGTGACTTTTGATAAAAATATACCAAGTAGTGAAATGGGAAAGAAACATATTGACGATGGTAAGCAAACTTTCATCATTCTTAATTAAATCTATGATAAACGCAGAAAAAGTAATTTTTGGTCAAAGCTGTGATTCTTTGAGTTTCAAAGAATAAATCTCATTGTTAAAAGAGAAAAAATGCGCCTTTTAAAGAATTTTAATTAAATTGAATATAATTTTAATTACAGTGATCAAAATAATATACATGTTACACAAATGAGTGCATCGATAGTGCCTAATATGATCATATTAAGGATTTTTATCATTGATTTTTGTTCATTTCTCGCACGAAGTAAATTAAATCGTACATTGATTAAATTAAAACAAACTACTAAAATATTAACAGTACACATAAGCGCAAAAATGTGATAGCTAAACGCGCATTGAACATTGAACGAAACATTATATAATAGCAATTAAATATAATTGTTGAATGAGCATTTCATTAAACCTTGTACCACATATCACAGAAATTATACATAATTGTATTGCAAATATTATAGAATTTTTTAATCATATCTTACCGTTACTATTATAATTTAGAATTACATCGTCACTTCTTTTTCACTTTAATTAGCATCAACAGTAATAACAGCAATATCAAATTCAATATTTTATATTTCGAAAACATTATATATATTTCACTTTTTTATTAAATAATGTATAAAGGTAATTGTATATAAAGATATTTTGAAGTACAATAATTTAAACTAAGATAAAGTAAAACTAAAAATAATTTACAGATTTTACATTAACACGTAGGCCTGATATTTCAGAAATATGTGTCTGTTTATTAACATTTGAGATCGAACATGAATTTTTTTTAGTATTTTATATGTGTAAATTATTTTATTGTATAACGAAAGATAACTTCAAAAAAGAAGCCAAAATATATGTAGAATTGTTTCGAGTTCGTTGAATATTCTAATTAATAATTTGTACTACTTCGTACTCTGTCCGGACTAGTTGAATTCGTTAAATTATATTAATATAATCGCAAAAAACAATTAATGTGGCTTATTGCTCTTTATTATATGACTTAAATTTTAAATACCTAAAGCCTTACTATATCCAATATGTGTAAAAGCTCCAGAAAAATACTAAATGTGTACAATATAAAATTATATCTTATTTTTTTAAATCTTGTGAATTTGTTGTAGAAGAATTATGAAATCACGCGTTATTTGAAAGTCTAATAAATAACTTTACATCGAATGAAAGTAGATTGCCTAAAACTATGCAAAAATATCCCACCATTTTTGCAAGCGTGTTTTTGAAAAACATTCTATTTTAACTATCATAATTCAGTGACACTCAACGTAAATCATTGCATTATTCCAATAAATCCTAAGTTTATTTAGCTGTCAACATAAATACAATCAGAATCCACTGTAACTGACGCAGTGATCTGTGTTGAGTGTCATTAAACTCTGAAGGTGAAAGAATAAGATGCTTGCTTTCAAAAATGGTAGGATATTTTAAATTTTACTATTAAATTAAAATCATCTAAAGCAATAAATTTTAATAAATAGATTGATTGATAAGTTTATATTTATTCTAATTATTTCTTGTTTTCTATCTTTAAAAGGGATTTTACATATTGTAATATGTATAGCAAAATAGTAAAAGCGAACAAACTTTTGTTAGACTAAGAGCCAATTTCACCAACGTAGGTTAAGCTAACGTGACGGTTAATTCCAATGGAATTATCCAATCGCATTTGTTTTTGACCAGAATGAACCAATCACGGTTGACACTTTAACCGTCGGTTAGCTTAACCGACATTGGTGAAATTGGCCCTAAATAGTTAAATTGTATCAATATAACTCGTGATGTTACTGCGGTAGTTTAATAGTGTTGCGTTTCAAGTCTGAAAAAAATTTGCGCGCAATTAAAAATCTACAAACGTATAGTATATAAATTCACACACAATTATATATAGAAGCACCCAAGATCTAGCTTGATCGTTAGAGCATGTTTTTATCGGTATTCATTGTTTTAAATTCTCACGGTTCAATAAGATTTGATGTATCAAACAAGATAATAAGATTTGATGTATCAAACAAGATAATAAGTTACAAAGTAAACAGATTTTACATGTTTGAACAATAAATATAAACAATAATAACATATAATAACTCATTTGTGTAAAAAATTTAATTGTATATTACTTTTGTTATGATTAAAAATATCTGTTTATTTTTATTGCTTTATTTTTTTTATTTTTATGTAATCATTATATATAATATATCACTTATATTGCAGTCCAACCACTGACAGCAGATGAACATTTCAAATTAATCCTAGAAGATAAGAATGTAATTGATTCGGAAGCAACCGATGTAACGTCCAATGATCTTCCAGAATGGTACAATAAACAATTATACAAAGAGTAAATATTTAAATTAAATTAAAATATTAAAATTCCAATTGTCTATAGTTTTATACCAATAGTAATAATTATAACAATAAAATTAACAAGAAAGATATTTTTTCGTATTAAATATAAATTAAAACATTTGAAAAGAGAGAATTAATAAATCAGTAACAAATAAATTACTTAAAAAATTGAAATATCAAACTAATAAGTATTTAATCATAATAATGTAACTTTATAAAAAAAGTATTTATATTTTTCAATATATTTATGTGTAAACATTTTTTTGTACAAACATTATTAATATTTAGAAAATTTTCAAATATTCTGTATATTCCACAAATGCAATATAATTTACGTAAATCAAATGTTTATTTTCATCTTTACAATTATTATTTTAGCATTGTTTGATTTATATTTTTTAAAATCTAACATCTATAATTGTAGAGCACAAAACTTTTATAAGCGAAACTTGATGTCGATAATAGCAGCAAGTATGATGGGAATTACTATGGTATTTACAGTAAAAACAATACTAAAGGTATTAAAATTGTACATTTTTTGTTTATAATACAAGTATATTAAAATAATTATTTTTGTATAATAATTACATGAATATAGTTTAGTAGTTCATAAAATTATTTAGATGTATATACATTACATTTAAGAATTTATTGTCTTAAATAAAATATATTATAACAACTAATTAAATATTTTTAATCACCGTCAAACCTTTTGTCTTTTAATAGGTGCTCTTATATACAAAACGAAGTAATTCTACATGCTCAGCTTTTAAAAGATACTTGGAAACTATATTACACATACATAACTTATATATGTGTGATCCAAATGATACAAATTCCAAGTAAGTTTTATCCAACCTGTCATTTTTTTATATCTATATTTGCTTGTCTTTTATTATTTACGATGAAAACAAATATCACTAGCTATTTATTTTTAAAATACAATTTTATTTTTATTTATATACATTTGAATTAAACGCGAAGCAACCTTTAGGATGTATTACACAGAATTTTTAACAAAAACGAAAAATTATGAAAATAATAACATTTTTCAATTTAAAAATAATAACTTATAAAGTATATAGATTTTACATATTTTAATAATGAAAATAAATAATAATAAATTTTATACTTATTTTTAGTTAAAAAAACCCTTTTTTTATCATTAAAAAGTCAGTTCTTTAATCGATTAAAACTAAACTTAAAAGAAAACTAGTTGTTTTATCTCTAATAAATAAGATTGCAAAACTTAATCTGTCTCTTTAACCTCTTGATAACGTAACATATATATTCCATCAACTATGGCATCGAGAAATTACTGCACTCCTGATTACATAATATGTAAGCATATTGATGAAACTTTATAGTAACATATGTAATTTGTAATGCGTTAACAAAAGATGTTACAGACTCAAGACATAATAATGGATAGTTTTTTCAGTCATAGTGCATCAAAGATATTAGTCTCATACAGCATCATTGACACATCATAGCTCAAAAACTGTTCATTAATTAAACTTTATTAACATAAATAAAGTCAATGTATTTATGACACTTTTTGTTTCACCACATTACGTAAACTATATTGTATAAAAACTAAATTCATTTCATCGAAATGCAATTGTCCGCATATATACAATTAATACGGAATCTTTTAAATGTAGAAATTTAGAAGCGCTCACTAAAAATATTCCTTGAATTAAATTTACATCAGAACTATATTTAAATATTAAAATTTCTTACATAAGGAAGAACGTACATATGTACATATATGAATGAATTTTCAAAATTTAATATCTGCTAGATGGTACAAATCGATGAACGCAATTCGTTGGCATCACGTAATGGCAACCAGGATGGCAAAAAAGGCTGGTATTGAAGAAATATGTCAAAGAGATATGGTTCTTACACAGTTCGCTTTTTTGGGATATATCTTAACTGCATCTAGGGACTTTGGGCTGAACAATACATTGGAAGAAGACGAAGCATTTAATCATCTTTGGCGTGTAAATGGTTATATGTTAGGAATCACTGACAAGTAATGTATACAATGTTTAATTCTGATTTTTACTAAGCAAGTTTAGCATATTCAAGTTTAATATATTCTATTATATACAAACAATCTCTAATAAATATAAATAATTTATTTTGACAGAGATGAGTATATACAAGTTATATATTTGAAATTTTAATTATATCTTTTCCTATCTGCAGTTTGAATATATGTCGCAAAAACGCAAAAGAAACTACCGAATTATGTTATAAGATCAAAGATTTGTATGGAACTTATTTGAGAAATGCTTCACCTGAATTTTATGAAATAATATTAAATATGTTGAATGCAATGTGGTACGTTATTATGATAGCGGATATAGATGTTTTCTTAGCTGCTGCAAATAAAATACATGGACTCCCTGGTAAATATTCAATTTTTGCTTTGATTAGAAATATATTTTTATTTCGATAATTACTATTTATAATTTATGTTATGTCTATATTTTTTTTTTATGACCATCACAAGGTTTCAGCTACCACTCGTTATTTGTTAAAAAGTTATGAGCGCTGTTCAAGATTGAAAATTAAGAAGAAAATCGAAAATTATTGTAAAACGATATAATTAGAGACTTTATTTTGCCCTATAAATAAAGAGATGTAGGATGACTTCACTTCTTGTTAAATCAGAAATATTAGTTGCTAAACTTAATTTCTGCCATTTTTTCGTCTCCAAATTTGATTTAGTTCAAAGAGAAGATGAATGAACATCTTAATCAAAGTAATTTTCTCTATTTTCTATTACTTTTTCCCATCCGTCCGGTAACAGGGCACTCCCATGACGATGACAAAACGTGGTGTCTTTCGAGGTGATCCATTCATCCCCCCATTTTTGAACTTCTTAACTTCGTAACTGAAGAAATGTGTGTCCATAAGGACGTGCAGCAATAGGAAGAGATGGTAATCCAACGGTGCCAAGTCTGAAGAGTACGCTGGATGCGGGAGAACATCCCATTCAAGTTGTAGAAGTGTCTGCTTCACGCTTTTCGCAACAGGCAGTCGAGCGTTATTAGGCAAAAAATGACTTAGCGTCGATTGTTAGCTTTAAATGGTCTTTTTTTCATCAACTCGTTATTCAATCGGCATAATTGATGTTGATAACGATTAACTATAACAGTTTTACCTGAACGCAAGAGCTCGTAATACAGCACACCCTCCTGGTCCCATTAAATACAGTGCAAGATCTTATGCGTTAAAATCAGCGTTACGAAAACCAAATTCCACATGTTGTTTTCGATGGAGTTTCATCATCATTTAAATTAGCATTTATGTGAACAAGAATTGATGGATGAACGACATCTTCATGTATTACGATTAATAATATTGTTTACTTATATTGATAAGGACCCGAATATAGGATTGAAACGTTTATATATATGTACTATTGAATTTTATTATATTAAATTCGAAGTTACATACTTTCATCTTATGTCGGCTCGTAATGGCGATTATTATTTATTCCTTTATTGATTTCATCATCATGTACTTCAGATAATAAACGATGCGTTTCAGCTGCGATTTTCTTGAATTCGAAGTAGTGAAGCACATGTCAGAAAAACGGCTTGTCGCGATTTATTTTCAATCGATTGAAAAATTTTTTTGGTGTCGAGAAATTTATCTTGTGAGAATTAAATACTTTCAGCAATGTTTAGACTACAAAGGGCAGTAGGAATTAATTTAACTATAAATTTGGATTTACAACTATTTAATATAAAGACATAAAATGAAATTACACGTTTATATTGTCAACTTTATCTATATTAACAGCTTTTGAACAAATAACGAGCGAGGACTAGAATCTTGTGAAGATCACTTAAAATCATAACGTACCTTAGCAACATTATATGTAATGCCTATTCTACAATGGAATTGCAAGTCAAAAGTTAAAAGTTACTAGACCCCGTAAGACAGAATCTTAAGTCTTAAGTTTTAAGAAATTTGCATCCACAGTAAGTCATACTATAGATCGTTATATTATAAAACTTCAGCTAATCAGAAAGATGACAAACTTCAATACTCATGATCGTTATGTATAATCTAAAGATACCTATATTAGCATTTTCATCATATCATCTTCAATACAATATAATTTGTAACTCGATGACTCAACAGTTCTCAAGAAGTCAGTTCTCTCGTTCAAAATGTTAAACATATTGCTCTTTGATTGGTCAGTCGTAACGTAATTATAAATTCTAAATCGGAAGAGATAGAATTTGACCATCTCCATGCATAGTAGTAACTGACTACTGACTTGTGATTACCTTATAATGCACGACAGACTCGCTTACAGCTAGCTTCCAACTTCTGACTTCTGACTTAGGTATGACTTATTGTAGAACGCCCATCAAGGACAAAGTTATCCAAATTAAATGCGTTGTATTTAATGTTTATTATTTCCTTTTCTTGTTAGAAACCACTTTAATTATTAAAATCGATCCTTATAATCTTTGATTTGAATGATGTTAACGATTGTCCGCAAGATTAGACATCTTTTATTTAATAACTTTCATCAACACTAATAATATATTACGTATTATACAATTGTCAAAGATAATTTCAAAATAAAATTATATTTCAGAGAAAAAGTTGGGATGGCGTAGTTGGTTAATACTACAATATACAACATGGTTACTTTATTTGTGTCGTAAGTAATGTAGACGTACAACTATTTGTGTGATATTTTATTGTATTCATGTGACATATATATTGATTTGTTCTTTGTCTTTTTTAGTTGTGCCTTATATCAGAATAATAGTAAAAGCATACTGTAACTTGTTAATTCGTATAATGCTTTGGTATTCACATTATTTTCCTATATTTATGTGGATAAAATTTGGGAAAAATAATGTTCGGCTCAATCTATATCCTAAATATTAATAACTTCGATCTTACCAACAATTTATTACATTTACATAAATAAAACAAATTATTTTTAAAATATTTTAACATATTATTACGTATTATATGGTATAAGAATTTAAGATATTCCATTTCTGAGGATGTTATCTTGAATATGGTACCTGCTCTTTGACCAATCAAAATATTGTTCAACATTGTAAAAAGGAACATGATTGGTACCATATCTATTTCACTAATTTTCAGGCAATTATTTATTTGGTTGTTATTTATATAGTCTGTTACTATTATGCGCAATGAAATATTTTATACCATGTTTGATTACATATATATGCACCGAAAAAATTGTATTCTTTATTTAAGAATATCCTACTTCCGTATAATACGTTTTCCTCTAAAATAAGCGCTACGATCTTCTTAATTTAAAAAGGAAAATCATCTAAAAATTATTAAACAACAGCATCAAGTAGGTATCTCTTGGACAGTCCACTTTGGAGAAAAACATTTGGACAAAAGTTGCATGGTTTTAAGGGAGACAAATAATGGAAAGACTAATAATTGCAAATACTTACTTTTTAAGATTATATGGAAATAATCGCCATGTTTTAAATAGAATATTATATAATAATATCTTTTGCTCAATATGATTTCTTTAATTATTTAAAAATAACACATTCAACTTTAGTATACATGTATATGTATACACTGTTAAAAAAGATATGAAATTTCATGTAATAAATGTGACGGAAATAAATTTCAAGCAGGTACATTAAAATCATTTACTTTACATGAAATTTAGTGTATATATTTTTAACAGTGTATATGTTACTGATAACATCGACCTTATATTGAATGATCCACGGTCTTAACACGTGCCAGCGCAGCTTGGTAAGCGAAAGACTGCTTTTAGTGAACGCGATTTAGCATAAATAACTAATGAGCTTCATTAAAAACAACGTGAAGCGAGCGTGACGATCGCCTTCACAAATCAAAAATATATTCTTAATTCAAGAGAACATATTCTTATAATATATCTGTTAAGAGGAAATAATAAGTATACATTTTTTAAGAATACAATTTTTTCGGTTTTTTTTAATCCTTCAAATGCGAATAATCCTTCATATGGAAAATATTAAATCAAAAATTACTATTTATATAATTTTTAAACAAATATATAAAGTATCTGATTTTCATCGATTACATTCAAATATTTTCTTAGATTTTAGTATTATTTGCAATAAAATATATTTTATTAAAAAGTTGTATGATTAACAGGACGCAAATAATAGTAAAATCAGATTTAAAAAAATTAATTTTTTAAAATCATTATGACGTCATTTTTTAAATAAAATTGTATAATTTTAATAACATAATATGATTCCTCTAATTATTTTGTATGTAAAAGTACTGAGGTGGAAGTAGCAAAAACATGGATTCAACGAAAAGAACAAACAGTATAATAGGAGTAACATGCTATACCTGCTATTGTGCAAAAGGAGGAGTATATAAATGCCAGTGAAGATCGTAGAACATCGCGAATTCTTCAGTATCAAATTGTTCGCTGAGCAAGAATACACGCGCTGCTCTGATCTGCAATTTACACACGTAGATTGTACTTCCGACGTAGTAGCACTGTAAAATATTTCGTTGATTGTAACTTTCAATAAAAATACACAAAGTAGTGAAATGAGGAAGAAACATATTGATGATGGTAAAGCAAGATTTTATTTTTAATGAAACATGTTATGTGCAGGAATAATAATTTTTAAAGGACGTAGTAGTTCTCAGAATTTTAAAAAATAAATCTCATTGTTCTAATAGAAAAATGTGTGTTAAAAAATATCAATTAAATCGAATATAATTTCAATTATCATAGTGATCGAAATATTACGCGTTATAGAAGTGAGTGCATCAATAGTGCCTAATATTGAAATATTATCCAAATTGGAAATATTTCATCGATTTTTGTTCATTCTATTCTAAGTAAATTAAATCAAATATTGATGAAATTAAAATAATCTTCTAAAATGTATATGTAAACGCAAAAACGTGACAGTTGAATGCGCATTGGAATTTTGCACCGCCATTACAGCAAATAAATAGTTGGAACTTGTATTGAAATCAGTGGCAACTTCAAATTAAGATTACGATTTACCGTTAGCTTTTTCCCAGGTGTACCGGACCCATAAATATCCAAATCGTGTGAAGCGTATGCGTGGGTGGCAGAAATTCCAGGATATATGAGCAAGAATAGAAGAAGAACAGACGGAAAGAAAATACAAATGGTGGCAAGGTGGAGATGTGGAAATGAGTTGAAAGGAAATATGTATTGGCTAAAAGAAGAAGAAAGAAAGTGTAGAATATGCGGAAAAGAAAGGGAAACACTTAGACACGTAAAAAGATGTACGAATAACGAGGGGGGGTGCGATCAAAGAATATATGTGTTGAATGAGGATGGAAGAGGGTATGAATGGATGGCTAAGGTACAAAAGATAAGAAGGGAAAGAATGGAAGAGAGAGAGAGAGAGAGTGAGAGCGGGAACGAGAGAGAGAGAAATAGATAATGGGTAGACAGGTAAAGAAGTAAATACATAAAATACAATGTAAATTAGAAGTGTAAGGAAGTCAATATGTAATACATTTAGTTGTGAAAGCATATCAAATAAACTACTACTACTACTACTACATCAAATAAATACATGTAATCTTTGAATGTGCCTCACTTAAACCTTGTACCACATATCATAAAAGTTGTATTCCGTAGAGATTAGATTATTATTATAGTTAGATATAATTATTATTATAATTAAATTATAATTAGATTATTATTAATATTAACACCTTTAAAATTTTTTAATCAACCCACCGTTAGTTACTTCATTATTATATTATATTATAATTTAAAATTATATTGTATGTACCTGTGTGTTTCTTACATTTTTCTTAGCAATAATTATTAGCAATAATCATTAGCAATAATTACAGCAATACAAAAAAAAAGTTGTTATTTCATACTTAAAAAATATTCGTTTTTTTTATTAAATATATAAAAGCATTTGTGTGTAAAGAGATTTTAAAATAATCTAAAGTAACCATTAACATTTAATCATATTGACCTCATATTGATATAAGGTATTCATGTTTCAAAAATGTGTGCCTGTTTATTAACATTTGGGATCATACCCGAATTTTATAGTATTCTATCTGTGTAAGAGTTATTTTGTTATACTACTAAGGATGCTTTAATGTAAGTCCAAACGTAAATAAAAAATCGTTTCGAGTTCGTTAAACACTGTAATAGTAATTTGTAGATACTACGTCGTAGTTTGTACAGTTGTTGAATTCGATAATTTACATTAATTCGATTGTAATATAAACTGGCGTAGTTTAAATCTTTCGTAATGTACAATTTTAATTTTAATTAGCTAAAACCTTACTAAATCTAATGTGCATAAAATGATAAGAAAATTACTAAAGAATTTATTATATAATAAAATTATATAGTATTTTACTTAAAACTTATGGATATGTTGTAAAGAATTATAAAGTAAAGTGTGTTATTTGATTGTCCATGTTATCCAGTGAATAATGTTATATCGAGTGAAAGTAGATTACCTACCTACAAAAACCTACAAAGCAGCTCTGTGAAGTTGGCACCCCTAAATGCGAATATTGGTAATATCATTATCACATTTGTTTGTCCACTGTTTGTCCACGTTTGTCCGCCCGTTATTTTCATTTGTCCACCTTCCAAAAAAAAGTTATACACAAAAAAATTGTAACACCCCCAAGTGGTTATTTTACACTATTACGAAAAATGTAATAAACATAGGGTGGACAAACGAAAATAATGGGTGGACAAACGTGGACAAACAGTGGACAAACAAATGTAATAATGATATTACCAATATTAGCATTTACAGATTCCAACTTTACAGAGCTGCTTTATGAAGTTGGCATCCCTAAATGCGAATATTGGTAAAATCATTATTGCATTCGTTTGTCCACTGTTTGTCCACGTTTGTCCACCCGTTATTTTCATTTGCCCACCCTTCAAAAAAAAGGTATACACAAAAAAAGATTGTAACATCCCCCAAGTGATTATTTTTCGAGTTCGTATCGATTGCTTGAGAATTCATTTTACTAAATTAATGATTTTTTCGAAAAAATACGAATGAAAAATATAAAAAAAAACGAAGAACAACGTGAATAAGATTAAAAGAAGACGAAAATCATAATCTTCATGACTATTTCAAGAAGCGGGGAAAAATAAAAAAATAAAAAAAATACAAAAATCGATAATTTAAAATAAAGACAGTTAATTAAAACTAATGGAAAAAAAGGAAAAAACAAATAATAATCTCATAAATTAGACAAATCCGGAAAAAAATTTTAAGGATGTATAAATGCTTAAATTTTTTAAAAAATTAAGTAAAGAAAGAACCTACATTGTAATTTTAGGGGGATTAACAAACCAGTTTGGTCTTTTCCAGATTTGTTTGTGTATCTCCAATAATTCTGAATCGCGCGCGTAGCGCGCGCAGGAGAAGGCTAGTATATAAAAAAATGTGAAGATGTTTGTACATAATTTATACAAATCGTAACTTTTTTAGAAATCGCAATAAGATCTATCTTTTTCAAATAACGACATACGCAGTTTGGAGATTCTCTCGTTAATTTCTACACTACAGCGACTGCATTCATTAATAACAGCAAGGAGTATTAGAAATGACTTTTATACTTGCTCATTTATTAACAAAATGCCAAGCTATTTACAATTTCCTGTGATACGAAAAATATCAGACAGTAATAAGTTTCACTAACCTGATTTAAACAGAAAAATTAACGCTTTAAAAATTGTCGACATTGATCAACACACGATTTAATTTATTGTGTATGGTTGAATCGCATCTGTGTATATCTTGCGTGTAGTCATAAATCATTCTGCATCTGTGTTTGTCATTTGCGAATTATGTAGAGACAGCTTAAAGTATCTATGTTTTTTTTGTATAATTCTTCATAATATCTGTT